TATACGCACATGCACATGCCCATGCCATTTCTTCTTTTCTACTGTCGTAGTTTTCTACGATCGAAAATGGCCACCAAACCAAACCCAGCGAGGCATGCATGTCCGCACCGCATGTGAGCGAATCACGCGGTTTTTTTTGCAGTAGAAGAGAGGAGAGGAGACGGACTGCGTGCGCAAGGACGACGACGACCCGTTCTCTTGGGACAACTGCGAGATCGAGCGACACGACTTCCCTTTTATTTAGCCCTTGTTTAGTTGGAGTCCAAAATCCCAAAAAGTGCTACAGTACCTGTCACATCGAATGTTTGCGGCTCATGCATGGAGCATTAAATGTAGACGAAAAAAAAACTAATTGCACAGTTTGGTGGGAAATTGCGAGACGAACGTTTTGAGTCTACTTAGTCCATGTTTGAACAATAATTGCCAAATAAAAACGAAGGTGTTACAGTAGCCCCAAATTCCAAATTCATGTAACTAAACAAGGGCTTAGGCCGCGTTTAGTTTCGGCCGGCGGCGCCGTCGGAAACCCAGTGCACTGTAGCGACAATGTAGCATTCGTATTCGTTTGTATTTGGTAATAATTGTCCAATCGTTGATTAATTAGGCTCAAAATGTTCGTCTCGCAAAGTACAACCAAACTGTGCAATTAGTTTTTGATTTCTTCAACATTTAGTACTCCATGCATGTACCGCAAGTTTGATATGATGGGGAATTTTCTTTTTGCATAGTACCAAATTCAGGAATTTGGGGAACTAAACATGGCCTTACTCCCTCATCTGTTCCAAATTATAAATCGCTTTGAATTTTTTATTCATCCATTTTGCTATTATCAATTATATCTAGATGCATATCGAAACAGATATAAAAAAAAAAGTTAAAGTAACTTATAATTTAAAACAGAAGAAGTACTGATAGTAAATGCCCCCTTAAACCAAGGATTATTGGCAAAGGAGTTATAATAAAGGATTCATATTCTAAGAAATTTTTGCTACACACCTCTTTTTACTTCACAGGGCATATAATATTACATAGGAAAGTAAGCCAAGCAACAGGTCAGACCTCTTGGATTTTTTTTTTATGGGAAAGCTGACTCCTCGCGCACGGGCTGTTGGCTCTCCCATCTGTGCTGCCCTTGTGTGTTGCGTTTGGTGGGAAAGCTGACCATTATGCAAGCAAGTCATCCAAAATCAAAAGTCGAGATAATCATAATCCTCTTCTTCTTTTTTTTCTTTTCCTATAATGCTACCAAAGACCATCTCATCTCAATTCCTGTGTTTTCTATTACTACAGGGTTGGATAGGATAAACATGTCGTCTCAATTCATGTGTTTTCTATATCCCATGTTCCAAAGGGGACCAATGCAGTTTTTTTTACTTTAGCTCCACGAGTAGCTTTTCAGCCTGTTCGCTTAGTCGTAAACGATCGTGGATTATAAGCCTGAACAATATTTTTCTCTCACACCAAACCAGCCAGCAGTAATAATCTACGATCGTTTCAGCCGAAACGAACAGGCTATTTATCGGTGGAGCTGAAGTTGTTTTGGTGAACCATTTGGGAAAAACAGGTCTACATGTGAATCTCTTTTGAAACATGCTCTCGCAAACCAATCAGGGGCCCACCAGACCAAGTTGAAGCTAGGAGAAGCAACTATTCTCGGCTTCAACCCACACCAATCTCTTTTTGAGAGCATGTTTGTGAAGTTGTTTGACAAAATACCTATTTGGTACAAAACAACCCCCGAAATTGCTTGAGAAGCTACCAAACGGGGACTCATTATCCTATTGGTACTGTCAGAGTGTCAAGTATAGATGGTCAGACAGCCCAAGATCCACGGGTTAGTCTACGACCCGGTGTTCTGGTCCAGTCCAGTACATACTGGTCGGCTCGACACCTTACATGCTTAGGCCACCTTTTGCTCGGGTCATGTATGGGTCGGCCCCCCTGGGCCAGACCGATCACTAGGAGGTATACTAAGAGCCCATCTATGCCATGTCCACCCCATATATAAAAGTGCCTTTATTTTCACTAAAGCCATTGACTCCATCCACTATATGTTCCACCGCCTGCTCCCCTCCATCCTCAACTTCAATTCCCTCTTCTTCCTTTCCTCTTCGCGGCCCTTTCTTCCCATCCCATCTCTATCAGAGACACCGATGGCAGCCCAACAACGCAGAGGTGTGGACCCAAGACCATCTCGGGCGGTAACATGTGGACACGACCTTAGATGGCTCGTGTGGTGGCGCAGGGCTATGGCGGGCTCACTGGGCTTGCCCGACACATACAGTGCAGTCAAATAGTTCTTCAATTTGATTGCATATTTACAGAAAATTATCTATATGTGTGATATCATCGACTAATTATCATTAAGTAGGTTCATCTTAGAATACATATTTATTGTGTACGTATTCAGAATCATATGTAGTGGTTGACATTATTTTTTTATAAACTTATGGGGTGTTTGGATCCCGTGACTAAAATTTAGGAGGCGTCACGTGAGGGTGTTGCATAGGGTGTTCGAATACTAATAAAAAAATAAATTACAGAATCCGTCAGTGCTCCAGGAGACGAATTTATTAAGCCTAATTAAGCCATCATTAGCACATATTTACTGTAGCATTATATTGTGAAATCATGGACTAATTAGGCTTAAAAGATTCATCTCGTAAATTGTCGCAAGCTGTGCAATTAGTTTTGTAGTTAGTCTATATTTAATACTCTATGCATATGTCCAAACATCCGATGGGACAACGACTAAAGTTTAGGAGAAGAAATCAAATACACCCTTAGTCAAAATTTAAATAGGTCGATCTAAAAGTACATTTTTTTTTAGAACTGAGCCCTCTTTTTTTTTTTTGAAGACATTGAGGTCGAAACTCCAACCACCAGCAACTGCCAGCAATGCAAGACCAAGACGACACAAACTGGCCTCTTTGCTTTTTCCCGTTTGCCTTGCGTGGTTACGCGCTAAACCCAGCTTTCTCCCCACTTTGCACTAGTATAGTACACTAGTACCAGTACCATTCTTTTCTTGGCGCCAGTCCAATGGACTGCGCGTTGCTGTTGCCCCGATCGTTAGGTTGTTTGGCAGGGTTTCTCTTCGTCTTTTGGCTCTGGCTCCTACAGAGGAGTCCTGCCAAATATTTTTCTGGATGAGCTGTTTTTCAGCAAAAACCAGAGGAGCCGGAGCCATTTTGGATGAGTCGCGTCGTCCAAAACAGCTCTGGCTCCTGTGGAGGAGCCTCTCAAGAGGAGCCGTGCCAAACACCCCCTAAACCACCCTCTCACGTTACCAAATGCCAGTAGTATATCACTCAAGTAGTACTAGTTTAGTTAGTTGCAGGGGAATGGAGAAGCAAAACATAACCAATCTAGACGCGTTTGGATCGATCTCCGGACTCCATTGTGTGATAATAGGTTAAATATACAATACTTACAGATTTTTAGCTACCAATTAGTCTTATTAGTTCATTCATTCATAATTAGTCCATGTTATAAGACGTCCTGTTTGGCATCTAAAATCCAGGACTGATTTTTAGTTCTAGGATCAAAACGCTTCCCAGTCCACGCCGCTCGCTCCTGCTCGTCACGCGCCCCAACTGCAACGCTTGCTCCCGTCTGCGCCCACGACGCAGCGCCACGACCACGATGCTCGCTCCCGCCGGCGACGCCTAATCCCCTTCCTCTGCAGCCTTTCTCCAGCGCAGGGGCGCCTCGCCGCGACCTTCTCCGGTGTGGGGGGCGCTCGCCGCGGGCACTGCACCCGCCCTACCCGCTGCACCCTCCCCCACTCTTTGCCGGCGTCGATCTCCGCACCGGTATCGAGCTCTGCGAGACGACTAGCCTCGCTCAATTCGTCCAAGCAGCAAGGTAACATTGTGCTGAAAGCGCATGTTGCAAGCGTATGTTTCAAGTGTTTCAGATGTTTCAGAGATATGTTGCAAGTGTTTTATATCAATGTCGCGGAAGTGGATCGGGAAGTTGCACATATTCCAATGGCTATACACGTATGTTTCAAGTGTATGTTTTATCTGTTTCAGACGTATGTTGCAAGTGTTTTATTTGGATGTTGCAAAAATAGATCTGGATGTTGCATATATATACAAATGTTTCAGGTATGTTGCAAGTGTTTTATCTAGATGTTTGCATATATTCGCAATGGCTACACACGTGTTTTCAAAAAAAAATGATGTTTTTGCAAGTGTTTTAGACGTATGTTGTAGGTGTGTTTATTTAGATGTTACAAAAGTAGATCAGATATTGCACATGTTGCAATTGGACCCACCTACGCGCAATCGCCTACTGCAGCTGCTGGGGCACCACCATGGTCACCGTGCAGACGCCTGAGGCCGGTAGACGCATCCGCGGCGCAGCATCCACAGACGGGGTCAGGTGAGTGGGATCCACGTGAGTTCCTGCGTGTGGGCGCTGTGGTCAGGCGAAATGTCCACGCGGTGGGACGCGCAAAAATAGACGATGCGGGCTTCTCTTCGCGTACGGCGCGGCCTCCATGCGAAAGATGGAGGCGTCCGATATTTTGGGCGGCTCTAGACATCCGGGTTGCCAATAACGCCCCTACAGCGCGGGCGCTTGCACTGGCGCTTGCATGCGGTTTTGGCTTTTTGGTGCCACGGTGGAGGCTCGCAAGGCGCTTGAGTTTGCGTCCGCTGCCAAGTTAAGCGGCCGGTGCCTCTGCTCGATTCAGTCCAAGAATCAACAGTTACAGCCTAGATTAGCATCGAAAGTTGACTTATTCCATTGTAGGTTAAGACGCTTGTAAAAAACAAATTAGTTTTTTTAAGCGCCTATTCAAACATCTGTGCGCTGTACATGGCCTAATGAAAAGGCTCACACACTGAGTCTTGCTATTATTATTATTTTGAGATAAAGGCTTTATATTAGTTGGTGTATACATATTGTACTAGCAGGAGAGCAAATTACATAGGCCATCTATCAACGGCATCCACGTGGGCATCCGCTTCGTTTGACAACATGGGTGGGTTTCACAGCTCGTACATGGCCAATGTCCCGGTGATCTCTGACGCAGCCCACACGCCGAGCGTGCTACCAGGCGCCGCCCATCGGTACCGGCACCGTTCCGAAGGCACCGTCGTCTCGCTCCATGCATCCTCCTCCGGCACCGGCAGGGGCGGGACGCTCGGGGCGGTTGCGGGGAAGGTGCTCGTGTCGTGTCGCCACCACCCAGCAGAATCCGAAGCCACCCAGTCCGACGGCACCTGAAAGTAACGTTCGTTCATTCGGTTTGCGAAATTACATACTCAATCTGTTTACAAAGAAAGATGTATGATAGGATTTCTATGAGACATTAGTGATGAAGCAAAGTGACCTGATACCCTTCAAAAGCATTGATGAACAATGTCAAACATTGCGCATTAAACTGATACATATTACTATATAGAATGTGAATGTCCTCCTTAATTGGTTAGATAAATTTGAATCTTATTACAAATATAAGTCTTATTTCATGGGATGGAGGGAGTATATTCAGGTTCAGGGTATGCAGATAGATACTGTAGTAGGTGGCCTACCTGCCTGCCTACTAATAATTCCCTTACAATCACAAACAAGATACCACCCAAGGGAGTTGAAGTTAGAAACCAAATGAGGGTCTCGTTGGCAGCTTATCTAATCTAACCAATTCGGTACCTTAACTTTAACAATAATGCCAAAGCTTTCGTGGCCTAAGTATATACACATACTTACAAATAAAAGGAGAAGAAAAAGAAAAGAAAAGCGCACAAATAGTACCGGAACGTGGAACGGTGCCAATAGTAGTAACACAGCACGATCTGTTTCAGGACAAAATGGTTGCCTGACCAGCAGCAGTACTAGTATCAGCCATGCTTATCAGCCATGATACAGTGTTTTTTTTCTCACAACAAAACAACATCAACCGACTTATAAACCATAGAAACGATCAAGCGAACATGGTAAATAACTTGGCTCGTTGCAGGAGTACCTGACCAGACACAGAGGTGTTCTTGGTTTGCCCAGGCCTTGCAATGCGGCCTGATCCTGGCGATGGGACGCTCTCTTCGAGTACTATCCTCACACACTTCTTCTTCGTTGCCTCTTGCAGCAGGCAGCAGAGCTTCTCTGGGTCCATGTCCACTCCACCCGTCACTCTCACCTTCACCTCTCCCGTCTCTGCTGAAACATCAGCTCGCTCCACCCCTGTAGCTTCTCTCCAAAGGCATGCAATGCAGCATTCAGGTACTACTCACTTTCAATGGTGCAGGCAGCAGGCGTACGTACACAAGACATGCAATTGCAATGCACAACTTGTGCTTGACGAAAAGATGCTTCAGAATTTACTTTCAAAAAAAATGCTACAGAATCTACCGTACATACCTTCTGAAATGCTGATCTCCTTCACCCCGTCCTTGATCTTCTTCACACAGCCGTTGCATTGGCAGTGCATGTCCAGCTTCAGAACGTAAGTCTTTGAGCCACCACCAGCCTTGCATTGTCCCTGCTACAGAGTACTCGTCGTACTTCTAAGAACCGTTCACCACATACTACATGAAGAACCAAAATTATTGAGATGAGCTTTCAGATGCTCCAAGAGAAGCTACCTTTGCCATGATCACTTATGCCCTGCCTGCCTTTGAGGTTGGTTTTCAACTCTAGCTTGGTACTTCATTCAAGTAGCCAGGAAGGATGCCACCATATTTTTATACTGAGAGCAAAAGGTGGAGGAACCGATAAACAAAAAGGTTAGCTTTCCAGTGGTTGGCCACCACACCACCTCCCATGACATCCTGTACAGGTGATTGGAAAGCTTCTAATGAAAAATTCAGCACAAATCATGCATGCTTCATCTGACTTAGGATGACAGCAAGTACCCCCAAAAAAAAACAAAGGTAGGCATATAAGAACAAGGAAATATGACAACTGTTGCACTCATTTAGGTTTGAATTTGTGTAGCTACCTTGATCGTATGTATGGGTTTGTTTCAAATGTATATTTTAAAATGCAATCGATAAAAAAATGCTGGAGTTTGCCAATGTGATTACCAACTTATAAGCATGTTTCTGCTATTACATTTCTGTTGTTTAACAGATCGTTCACTCTGAAAAACAAGATGGGAACAAATATATTCAAACGGTAACTGAAATACGTTGAAAAAGCGTTGCTCTTCCAATTTTAACGGCAAAAAGAAGGCAATTTAAACGGTTTACAGCACAAGGGGGTATTGATAATGTCCCGTACAATTCCAAGCAATAAAATAAAACTAAAACAACTAACTACAGACTCTGAAACTAATAACAGTAACCTCAATGCTCCACACCGGAAACAACCACCCGAACCTGACAAACCACCTGCTTGGAGCCTTTCTTTCCAGCTAGTTACCTTGACCGTCTCAAGGAGGAGAGACCTCAACCGGATCCTCTAAGCCCATACAACTAGCCAAAGGAGGGGCACAAGCAAGTATCGAGTCACCACCCCCTGCAACCAGTAACTAACCCACATCACAGCTCACCAGCTGATTCTTTCTGGTATGCTGGCCACCTGCCTCAAATCTAGCACCTTTTGTTCCAACAGATGTCTCCTCTCCACTGAACATATATATTTTTTTTCTTTTTGCACTAGCCCTGCTATCTTTTGTAGCAAAATCGCCATATCCCTCGAAGCTACATTCTGAAAGCATAATAGATTCATTAGTTTCCAAATACCCCAAAGGACAGCCTAAATAAGCATATTTGTTATAACAACTTATTTTTACAATTTTACTAAGCCATAAATTACCAACAGAACATGATCAGAACCACAAACAGTACCCACGACCTGAAAAAACACTAAGCCAGATCCGTTGGGCTACTATACACTGAAAAAACAGGTGATGGATGGTTTCTCTCAGAACAAAAGAGACAAGAAACATCATCTATCTTTCTTCTTTTAGCTAAATTATCTCTAGTCAAAACTTTATTTTGAAAGCGAACTAAAGAAAAAAATGAACTCTAGGGGGGATTTTGAGGACCATAATCTGACCTGTAAACTGGAATTATACCCCTGAAGTTAATACTCCTATATAAAGATTGAGACGAGTACATTCCATTAGAAGTAAATTGTGAAATCATAGTGTCCTCTTCAGCTGAAAAATTAATGGTTGAAGGTAGCTGAACTATTTCCATCCACATCTGCCGCATAGATTAATCTACTGTTCTTCTAAATGAGCATCTCAAAACTTCCACATCCCAGAGCTTATAGCTCTTTCACCAGCCTTTCCCTATCTGCCATCTCATTCCCAAACATTCCATCCACATCTGCCGCATAGATTCATACTGTTCTTCTAAATGAGCATCTCAAAACTTCCACATCCCAGAGCTTATAGCTCTTTCACCAGTCTTTCTCTGTTCTGCCATCACATTCCCAAACATAAGATCAGTTGGCACAAGCGACTGATTAATTGTAATCCTTGCAGCGAATTGAAGACAAAACTAGGTTAGCAGCTGCGCCAGGAGATTAACCTACCATTTCAGAAGTTGACTACCAGAGCTTGCACACAAGATTTGAAAATGCATCACCACTGCTCTTTGCAAGGGCAATCCTTTGTTTCCTTTCAAAACTTATCCTAACATTGGAACTAACACCCCTACTTCATATTCTCAGCAAATACTCAGATTGATGAATGGAACCACCACATATACAATTGTTCGTGACTGCTGTTGGGGTTTCAGGAACTGGGTTTATCAAGGGAAATGCTGGAGCAGCTGTCTCTTGATATTCCAAGCAGTCTTCTCCCAAAGCATCCTGAAAAAAAAAATGCCTTGGGCATCTTCAGGTATCCAATCAATCACCTTTGCCTGAGGGTGAAGCTGGGAAGCATCAGTAATTGCAATCTGATAAACATTACCATTCGGTGTGACTCCTACTGTGTACGCCTGTGCTCAGATTTGTGCCTTATAGCATTTCTCACCCTCGCAGATAGCTCTTTCCTCTTCTTATCAGAAAATAAGCCAGATAAGGTTAGCTTTTCAGGCTTGTATGTAGCATCTAACCTGAGAATTTGCCTCTCTACAAGATTCTTAATCTTGTTATTTCCATGGATCTTGCATGCTGTCAGAAGAGATGACCATACCACAAGATTTGCTTGGAAAGGCATATTCTGGATAAAGCTGTAAGCGTCGTCGATCCGTCCAGCTCTTCCAAGGAGATCAGCCATGCAAGTGTGATGCTTGACATTTGGTTTGACACCGTACTTGTCCGACATTGACGAGAACATCTTACACCCTTGTTCAACCAAGTTACTGCGACTGCATGCGCACAGGACTCCCACAAATGTGATGTCATCAGGTTGGAGCCCCAGGGTTTCCATTTCATCAAAAAGTGAGATAGCTTTCTCACCATGACCATGGTGAGCGAGTCCATGTATCATAGCATTAAACAACTCCACAGTCTTGAATTCATCAGCGACTCCACGAAACACATCCACAGCTGTCTGTATGCACCCATGCTTTGCATATATGTGCACGAAGCTGGTGGCAACTCTCGCATTTCGGCTAACCAATCCATTCTGGTTCACACGACGATGGAGCCTCTTTGCTAGACCAATAGCACCATGCTGGACACAAGCTGAAAGCACGGTGACGACCATCACCTCATCAGCCTCAAGTCCTGTCGCTTCCATCTCCTCAAACAACAGAAGTGCCTCCTTGTATCTACCTGCCTGCACATATCCACCGATCAAAACTGTCCATGCAACCAAATCCTTATTGGGCAACTCATCAAACAACTTCCGAGCCATGTCGATATCACCAGCCCTTGCATACCCTGACACCATCACACTCCAAACCCTTGCGTCCTTCGCCTTCTCCCCAGACAAATTAAACACCTTCCTGGCGAGCTGCACTGCGCCACACTTAACATACATGTCCACTAACCCAATTACCACCTCTGCAGAGTCGAACAATGTATGCCTCAATGCCCTGCTGCCAAACCCATGCGCAGCTTTGGCCACCATCAAATCACCTAGCCCAGCACAGGCGCCCAGCAACGCCGTGATGGTCCACTCGTCCAGCCGGAACCCTCCCTCCACCATGTTCCTGAACACCCCCAACGCGCGTTCAACGCATCCCGACTGCACGTAAGAACCGATCAGCGTGTTGAACGACACGGTGTCCCTCGCCGGCATTTCGTCGAACAGCTTGCACGCGAGGGCGTGGAGACCGAACGAGGCATAGACATGGAGGAGCGAGTTCGCGACGAAGACGTCGGAGGCGAATCCCGACTTGAGGACGAAGGCGTGGGTGCAGAAGCCGGCGGAAGGGGACTCGAGGCGGGAGCAGGCCGCGAGAGCCGCGGAGAGGGAGCGGGAGTCGGGGACGGCCCCCTCCTTCTCCTGGGAAGCGGTGGCGCAGGTCGCGGCGGGCTGGTTGTCGCGGAGCATGCGGAGGAAGAGGCGGAGCGAGGCGAGCGGGTGGCCGGCGCGGAGGTGCGGGCGGAGGAGGAGGGAGGCCGCGGCGGGGGGCAGCGGGAGGTCCAGGAGCAGGAGCTGTGCGTGCGCCTGGAGCGAGGGGCGTCGGCGGAGGGAGGCGAGCAGGGAGAGGTGGAGGAAGCCGCCTGGCGCGGCGGCGATGGCGCTGCCGGCACGGCGGCGCAAGGGCATGGGCAGGCGACGGGGAGTCCTCGCGGTCGCGGTGGCTTTCGGGCGTTTGAATCCGTGGAGCCGTGAACGCGCGACGAAGGCGTAAACCAGGAGTATGTATCCCATAAGCTTGAGGAGATGCAACGAGGCCCGGCCCATCGAGTAGAGGAGTCTCCGGGACCGACAGGCCCGACACCAACACCACGGTGTGTAGTTGCTCTCCTCCCATAACCCTCACCGCCGCCGCCGCCGTCCGCCGGAGCTCCGGTGTGTCAGTTCGCTGCCGAAGGCCATGGACCACGACAGGTAATTGCGCTGACGCCGTTTCCTCCTGCAGCATCACTTCTCCACCTCCTTCGCGATAGTTTAAGCCCCAAAGAGCAAATTACATGGTAAATTGGTGGTTGAATCATGTTGCTTGTTAGCAACTGGCGTGAGTGAGGGTGGTAGTGATTGCAATTTTTTTTTTTTTACTTTAGTTTCATGTACGGTTCATGCTGACTACAGGTTGAATTCGCCGAGCACGTCGGCTATTTCGCTGGAGGTGATGGACCACCGGCTACATATTTCACAGGTGAGGAGAACTGGAGAAGCACCAGATGAATCTCGCTTCTTAAAGAGGTTTTTCTTTTAAGAAAAAGAATTAGGCTTTGCATTAGTAGGTGGAACTACTTCATCTTCTGCTCAAGCTGTAGTGGTGAACTGGTGATACTGAATGGTGGGTGACCTGAATTTTCTTTTGCTTCTGGACTGACAGGATCCAAACTCCAAGCACCTTGGGACCACAGTCTGGGATGCATCAATGGTGTTTGTCAAGTTCTTGGTAATTTCTTTGATTTCTAGGCCTTCCTGCACAAGTTGATGTGGATAAATAAATATAATCATGTGAACAAAAACTTTTTTTTTTTGAAACTGTGTCAGAGGCGCACATCCACCGTACATAGACTTTGGGCTGTTGGCATCTTTGAAGCTTTATATGCTGGAGCATATGCTAGTACTAGGATTTGGTTCTAAGGAAAATACCAGCTTAACTTTTATTACCATCATCATGATTGGTATTTTATGGTTGATCTGTACAGGAAAAGAATAGCAGAAAAGGTCGGTTTTGTCCATCCAAGTTAAAAGGAAAGAGAGTGATTGAATTAGGAGCTGGCTGTGGTCTAGCTGGGTTTGGTAAGCTCAATTCAACTGTCCATCCAGTGCATTTCTGGATCCTAGTCCTATTGGCTTTCTCTTTTAAAATTGTTTGCTTCTCCTTTAGGAATGGCGTTGTTAGGTTGTGATGTTACAACAACTGACCAAGTCGAGGTGCTCCCACTGCTCATGAGAAATGTTGAACGCAACAGATCTTGGATTTCACAATCGAATTCTGACTCAGGTTTTGTTAAGAGAACCATCTCTGAGTACTGTGCCCTTCCTAGATCAGTTTGAGTATTTCTCATAGCTGTAGTTTTGGATATAGTCATATGGTATTGTAGTTTTTGATTGAAATAATCAAGACTTAATTATTATATTGGTTCCTGTAAATGCATAGGGATCATGTTAAGTAAATTGTTCTTTAGTTCTGACAAAGATAAATTGGCAAACACAAAACAGATTCCATCGGCTCAATTACAGTTGCAGAATTGGATTGGGGGAACAAAGAACATATCAAGGCCGTTGAACCTCCATTTGATTACATCATTGGAACTGACGTTGTAAGATTTTTATGCAGCGTCTTGAATCTTTTCTGAACTCTGCCTCTGAAACAGCAGATCCTACTTACTTCTGATCATGCAAGCTTTCACTCAACATGCCATTTCACTATTTTCAGTTATTATTTAGTGAAAGTTTATTGTCACAGCAATTACATAGTTACACATGTAACCTTGCTCTGAAACATTCGCTTTAATTCGAAATCTATTTTTAATCTTGTCATATTTTTTATACTCTTCAAATTCAGTTACAATCCTGTCATCATTGTTACACAGTAGACAAAGCAGCAATGCATTATGTTTTCAAGATTTCATAAATTAGAAGCATACCAAACCGTTTCAAATTTAGATCCAGGGAGCAGATGTTTAGTACTCCCTCCGTTCCAAATTATAAGTCGCTATGACTTTTTTGGTACATCCATTTTGCTATGAATCTAGATATAATATATGTCTAGATACATAGCAAAATGGATGAACCAAAAAAGTCAAAGCGACTTATAATTTGGAACGGAGGGAGTATTATAGCCTGTAGTTGAGTATAGCAGGATCGATGATTCAGTGTTAACAAAGTGACTTAATTTCTCCTTCATCTGTGCATGTTCAAGGTTTATTCAGAGCATCTGTTGCAACCTCTAATGGAGACAATTACTGCATTATCTGGTCCCAAAACAAAAATATTGGTAGCTCCTGTCCTCTTTTTCAGAAGTTATTTCTGCAAAGCAGTTGTTTGGGAACTACTGAACTGTTGCCTGCTATCCAGCTAGGATACGAGATCCGTTCGACCACAGTCCACGAGAAGATGATGGAAATGTGGAAAAGCAATTTCATTGTGAAAACAGTCTCTAAATCAAAGGTATGGAAATGTGGAAAAGTAATTTCTTATATTCATGTTTGCGTCAGTTCCGGGACTTATATATATGCTTATGATGTGTATTCTGAGACAGATGGATGTGAAATATCAACATCCTAGCATACATCTCTACATGATGGACCTGAAAGCACCATTGATCCCGGAGGTTGAGGCTACCGATAATGGGAACGACGAGGAAGAGGTTGTTTCGAATCCAGGGGAAGACGAAGATCCTGGAGTGAAGAGCGACTCTTGTTCCGGCTCGTCACCAGAGGCTAAGAGCGGCGGTCTGGATGATTGGGAAATCAGAAGGTGTGGGGCTATGGCTGCAAGGCTTCTGAAGGATGTGAAACTGTAACATGAATTCGAAGCACACTTTTTTTTTCTTCCTGTTTTCAGTTCAGTCAAGGAGGAGAACCCTAGAGCTCGTTTTTTCCTTGGCGGAGAATTCTAGAGCTCCTTTATGTTGTTGTCCTTGATCATTTTTCGCTTTGACATTGTTGTACTGGCCATGGCAGTCTATGTTATTTTGCCTTGTTCCATCAGTGGATATTGATATCCTTTCAGAAAAAAAGAAATTGCCCCTTTCTTGCTCGCTCCCTGACATGTGGCCGGCAATAGCCCCCTCGTAGATGTGAGGGGTGCTACCAGTCGGTTGGAGTTTGGACGGTAACGAGTGGAATTGTTCTGAAGCTGGGATCTCTAGTTGTCTTACATATAAAAACTTTTTTTTGAGAGGATAAAAACAAATTTTTTTTTGTTACAGATAGGGGGGGGGGGGGGGTGGTGCGTGCGGAGCTCTTTCTTGCGCCGGCGCCGGCGGTAGAAACAAGGTAAATGAGTGGGTGAAGAAACAAGGGTCGCTCTGGTTGGTTGTGTTCACGACAGGAATTGGAGGCTTTCAGTTTTCACCGCTGTCGACGCGAGAATAAAAAAGACCGTCTCTGGCTTGGGTTTTCGCGGCAAGAACGGACGCAAGATGGCGGAGATGAGCGATGATAGCTAGCCGGATGACTGTGCTGTGCTGTGCTGTGGCTGCGTCTGCTCGGATAGTGGCCATGGACATGGACATCTCAGTTCCCCTTAGCATGCTGGCGTCGTTGACCGTTGTTTCCTCGAATGCCAATAGGTTGAAGAGGATGCCTGTTCGCTCGTTGGCAGTCACTGCTTATCAGTTGGCTAACAGTAGCCCCGTTCGCTGGTCTGAACTTTGGCTGAAACTGGCTGAAAAACACTGTTCCGGCTGAATCGTTGTGAGAGAAAAACACTGTTCCGGCTGAAAAAACAAACCGAACAAATCAAATTTAAGACAAGCGAACGGGGCCAGTATTTTTCTCTCACAACTAATAGTATTTTTCTCTTACAATAACCTCTCATAACTAATAGTATTTTTCTCTCACAACAAATCAGCTAACAAATCAGCACCAGCAGCTGAGCTTATCAGCTCAGACAGAAAAAAAAAAAAACAGCGAACAGGCCGCGGTGGCGACGGGAATGGAGTGAAAGATGCCGTGGACTAGGGGGCGACAGATTCCGTCAGAGGAGCCAAACGGACGGCATCCTTCCGGCCTCCGTCTTCCGCGCACTGCTCTCGGCTCGGTTTCGTCGTGTCCCGCCCCCACCCGGAACGCAACAAACGGGGGGAGCACCAAACCCCACGTGGCCAACGTCCTCCGCTCCCGCTTCTTCAGTTCTTCCCACCTCATCCTCCACCTCAAGCTTCTTCCATTCCCACCGCCTCCTTTTCTTTCCTTCGTTCCCGCACTTTCCATGTCACTGCACCACTGCCGCGCTGCCACGACGCCCGCCATGCCCGCCGCCGCCAGCGCCACCGGCCTCTCGTCCGCGGGCGCTCCCCCGTTCCGCCTCCCGGCCTCTGGCTCCTCCGCCCACCAGGGCCACATCCGCCTCCATCCTCCTGCTGCCTGCCGCCGCCGCTTCAAACTCCGTTGCGCCGCCTCGTCTGGCGGTGGCGACGGCGCCGGAGGCAGCGGCGGCTCCGACCCGGCCCTCGAGGAGCAGCGCCGCCGCCAGGCCGAGCTCGCCGCGCGCATTGCGTCCGGCGAGTTCACGGTGCAAGGCCCCGGGTCAGCTGCCGCCCCTGCTCCTCATTTCTTTGCGTTTATCTATTTCCGGTATTGATTGATTGTTTGATTCTGTTTCGAATTTGGGTTTCAATTCATCAAGGTGGATTGCGCCTCTCGTGGGGAAGCTCTCCAAGCTGGGCCCGCCGGGGGAGCTCGCCGCCGCGCTGCTCACAAGGGTGGCGGGCGCGGGCGCGGCGCGCGGCGGCCCGGAGATCCCGCAGGCAGTGGGGTCGATCAACGCCGTCGTGGGGCAAGCCTTCTTCGTGCCCCTGTACGACCTCTTCCTCACCTACGGCGGCATCTTTCGCCTCAACTTTGGCCCTAAGGTGAACGCAGAACGCCGGCACGCGATCAATCAATCAACCAGAGCTTGCTCCACAACCCCCTAGTACTATTAGCGTGCTCCGTATGATGGTTTAAAATTTTAAATTTTGTGTTCCTTCCAGTCGTTTCTTATTGTCTCCGATCCGGCTATCGCTAAGCACATCCTGAGGGAGAACTCCAAAGCTTATTCCAAGGTATGGTTATCAGTATCGATCTGGGCATATACGTTTTCCAGCCCTCGGAAGAAAGGTTTTCGATCAATGAACTGAAGTGAACATGTCGTTGTGGTTGATGCAGGGAATTCTTGCAGAGATACTGGAGTTCGTGATGGGTACGGGTTTAATCCCTGCTGACGGGGAGATTTGGCGTGTTCGGAGGCGTGCTATTGTTCCCGCATTGCATCAGAAGGTCTGACCTATCTGCTGCCTACTGTGTTCTACTGTATTGGTTTCTTTGTTTACCCACCTCAAGTTTGCTCGTTCTACAGTATGTGACTGCGATGATTGGTCTCTTTGGAGAAGCTTCAGATCGGCTCTGTGAGAAATTGGACAAGGCAGCAGTGGATGGGGAGGACGTGGAGATGGAGTCGTTGTTCTCTCGACTCACGCTGGATGTCATCGGGAAGGCGGTGTTCAATTATGACTTTGACTCGTTATCTTACGATAACGGGATAGTCGAGGTTATTGATTCAAGTTTCCCTCTCTTTCCAGTTTCATTTATCTACGGTTCTTCGCGCCTGAAACCTTTTTCCATTGTGGAACCATGATCAGGCAGTGTATGTAACACTAAGGGAAGCAGAGATGCGTAGCACTTCTCCTATACCAACCTGGGAAATACCCATATGGAAGGACATTTCCCCACGGCAGAAGAAGGTCAACGAAGCTCTCAAGTTGATAAATAGTACTCTCGATGAACTAATTGCCATATGCAAGGTAAATCGTTTTGTCGTTTCTAATACTTTCATCGTGATGTCGTACATGTTTGGGTTTAGAAAAATCATGACAGTGCTATTGCCTATTGTTATTAACGCAGAGACTGGTAGAGCAAGAAGATCTTCAGTTTCATGAGGAATACATGAACGAGCAAGATCCTAGTATTCTTCACTTCCTTTTGGCATCTGGAGATGATGTATGATGTAACATGCAAAAAAATATTTTGTCTATTTCAACTTCCTCATCCTCACACAGCTTCATTCCATCTGTCATAGGTATCCAGCAAGCAACTCCGTGATGATTTGATGACCATGCTCATAGCTGGTCATGAGACTTCTGCGGCAGTCTTGACATGGACGTTTTATCTTCTATCTAAGGTATATGCTATATCAGTATCGAAAACTCACGTCTGTATTAACTTATAATATCAAATGCAGTAGTGTTTTTTTTAGATTGTCTTTGTAGCTTATAACCATTAATATCAAGCTACTTACCTTTTCTATCCAATTGGTACCCTGCAGTATCCAAAAGTAATGGCCAAGTTGCAAGATGAGGTACACTCATGTTTTTCACTTATATAGATGTTTTTTTCTTCACTGCTTCTGAAATTTCATGAATGCCTCTATTTTCACACAACTATCCGCAGGTTGATAGTGTTCTAGGTGATGGTTTGCCTACAATTGAGGATGTGAAGAAACTAAAGTACACGACTCGGGTTATTAATGAAGTAAGAAACTAACAATGCTGGTGCATGAAACAATGATTGATCATCTCAAAAGAACATGACCAAATCATTTTTGTTGCAGTCATTGAGACTATATCCACAGCCGCCGGTTTTAATTCGTAGGTCACTTGAGGATGATATGCTCGGAGGGTACCCAATTGGCCGGTAAAGTTTTCTAGCAGAATTTAATATATTTAAGATACCGATGTCTGCAAATATTCTTTAGCATTAAGTTTATGCAACTCCCGTTGTCGGAGTTATATGAAAAAGGTAGTTTTATTCTCAAATGATGCAGGAGAGTTGCATGTCATTTCATTAAGGAAAAAAGCTAGCTTTTGTATCATGTCAGTTGTTGTAGATGCTGTTTAGCACCATAGGGGTAGCTTAGTTACCTTAGATTTCTTCTACTTTTTTTGCGACATTTGTTATATTTTTTTGAACTCCTCAACGTTAATAGCTATATTAGTTTAAACAGCAATGTATAGTATGCAAGCCTACTGCTTCTTTCCAATCTTATGTGGTCTATTTAATGCAAAGTTTTTTTCCTGCTTTCCAAATTCCATTGCTTGTAGAAGTAATTTGATTTATTGGTTGCCCTAGGATATTTGGATTGTGATAGCATTCATTCATTTGGTGTTACCATCTGAAACATTTTTTTCTTTATTTGTTTCAGAGGAGAAGATATTTTTATTTCTGTTTGGAATCTTCACCACTGCCCAAAGCACTGGGATGATGCAGAAGTTTTCAACCCAGAAAGATGGCCTTTGGATGGACCAAATCCGAACGAGATAAACCAAAATTTCAGGTTCCCTCTCTATCACTGCAAAATGCAGTTATAGTTACACTTTCTTGTCCCGTCAAGTTGTCCATACGTGAATTGTTTTGATTGCAAGAAGCCAAGAACAGGGGAGACATTTGTTGACCAGAGATTGTTCTCCGAAGAAAACTTTGCAACAACAACAACAAAGCCTTTTAGTCCCAAGCAAGTGGGGGTAGGCTAGAGTTGAAACCCAACATGAGCCCCTAGTCACGGTTCAGGCACGTCAATAGCTGTTTTCCAAGCACTCCTATCCAAACAGAGATCTCTAGGTATATTCCAACCCCTTAAATCTCTTTTTATTGTCTCCCCCATGTCAGCTTCAGTCTTCTTCTACCTCTCCTCACATTGATATCTCGACTTAGAACTCCGCAATGCACTGGTGCCTCTGGACGTCTCCTTTGGACATGGCCAAACCACCTCGACCGATGTTGGACAAGTTTTTCTTCAATTGGTGCTACCCCTAGACGATCACGTATATCATCATTCCGAACTCGATCCATCCTTGTGTGACCACAAATCCAATGCAACATACGCATTTCCGTGCCACTCAGTTGTTGTCGTCTTTTTGTAGGCCAACATTCTGCTCCATACAACATAGCGGGTCTAATCGTCGTTCTATAAAACTTGCCTTTAAGCTTTTGTGGTACCCTCTTGTCACAGAGAATGCTAGATGCTTGGCGCCACTTCATCCACCCTGCTTTAATCCTATGGCAAATGTCTGCATCAATATCTTCATCCTTTTGTAGCATCGATCCTAGATAACGGAAGGTATCTTTCTTAGGCACCACTTGACCTTCCAAACTCACCTCTCCCTCCTCATGTGTAGCGCTGTCAAAGTCGCATCTCATGTATTCTGTTTTAGTTCGACCTACTCTAAAACCTTTGTACTCAAAGGTCTGCCGTCACAACTCCAGTTTCCTATTTACTCCTGCCTGGCTTTCATCAACTAGCACTACATCGTCTGCAAACAACATACACCAAGGGATATCCCCTTAAATGTCCCTAGTCACTTCATCCATTACCAAGGTAAAGAGATACGGGCTCAAGGCTGACCCTTGATGAAGTTCTATTTTAATCAGGAAGTAATCTGTGTTACCATCATTCATTCGGACACTAGTCACGGCATTGTTGTACATGTCCTTGATGAGGGTAACATACTTTGTTGGGACTTTATGTTTTTCCAACGCCCACCACATAACATTCCTTGGTATCTTGTCATAAGCCTTCTCCAAGTCAATGAAAACTTTGATTCTTTTTAATACTGCAAAGCCATTATCATTCTAGAGAGATAACCAAAGCACAGCTAATTCCTATTTTTAACTTCTTTTTTTTCGGGGCATGAATTGAACTTTGCATATGCAATTCCTATTATTTGTGGAGTTCTTACATAGCACGTAACAAAAGCCTATTGTAAACTGGCGTACCAGAAACATAATAAGATCAATTAAATGGATAAATTTTAATGACAGGCTTAACTGACTCTGATGATTGAGATTTTGTGTCTCTCTATTGTGTTAGCTTAGGTTAACAAGGTGGAATATTTTATATTTCCTTTCAACTGTGTATCTTTCAAATAAACAACAAAAATAAAGATTGCAATAAAGGTAGTGGCGGATACGTTCTTACTACCTCCGTCCTGCAAAGAGTGACATTTTGGTTTTGTCCTAAGTCAAAGCATCTTATGTCTGACCAAGTTTATAGAGAAGATTATCAAAATTTATGACACTAAATAGGTTTACTATGAAAATGTCAATAAAGTGCACTGGCGGTCCTCGAACAACAAAAATTAATTAATGCAGTGGGATTCAAATAATCTGTTGAATTTTCAGTTACTTACCATTTGGTGGCGGACCAAGGAAATGCGTAGGTGACATGTTTGCCACTTTTGAGGTAACCTTTTTATACAATTTTTTTTATATATGTCTCTTTTTCGATTTTGAGCTTTTACAAGACCAATACTCCCTCCGGTTCTCTAAAGCAAGTCGTTTCGAGGTTGTCTTAAGTCAAACATTTTAAACTTTGACTACAAATAACTTCTTTTGGGTTGAGTTTGAAAATATGAAAGTGATGTAAGTAGATTCATCTTGAAATGTAGTTTCATAAAAGTATATATTGACTATATTTTATAAATATTTTATAGCAAAAAATTGCAGTCAAAGTCGTTTCTTAAAGACCATGTCGATGTCCAAAACGACTTGCTTTAGAGAACCGGAGGGAGTACCTCATTTCATTCGATTAGCAATAAAGCGATCACTATAGAAAATGCTAGATTTCAAACTCAAATAACTTAGGCATACTGTGTCACTGCAGACGGTGGTGGCAACAGCAATGCTTGTCAAGCGATTTGACTTTCAGATGGCTCCAGGAGCACCTCCGGTATGTTTCAACCAGATTCTGATTCATTATAGTTAATAACCATGCCCCCATTATTTATATGCAATATAATAGGTTGACATGACAACTGGAGCAACGATTCACACGACTGAGGGATTAAAAATGACTGTTACTCGAAGGACAAGGGCACCAGTAATTCCAAACCTGGAGATGAAAATTATTTCTGATTCACAAGAACCCACACTTTCTACCCCATCGATGGTTGTTAGTGCTGCTTCTGTTGCTTCAGGAGAAGATCAAGGGGGCGTCTCCTGATTTAAGCAGTTTCAAGCTGCAACGACATACAGAACGAGTATGTTCTTTTCATTCTGCTTGGAGTTATAATTCAATTGCTTGCCTGTTTGAATTATTTCCATGCAGTATGTGCATTTACTGGTATTTTCTCATGTCTCTTCCAAAACATTGTTTTAGGCATATCCATTTATATTGCTGTGGAAGTATTTGGCTAGTTTACAGCATTTGGTTGCGCAAGCAGTACAAAACAGAGATGGAGTCTCCTGGCGTGCTACTTTTATTTACAAGGAAAAACTCTCAACCCTTCCGGACTTATTGTTACTGATGGCACAGCACACTCCTATAGACTATAGATCTCCATGCTGCTACTCAAAAGCACCATGGACACATCTACATATTTACAAGAAGTTCTGACTTCCGAGCATGGATTGCTGCGCTCCTAAACCTTCAGCATGCCTTCCAGCACACGAAGAACATCAGCACGGGTAACTATACCTGTTGATAGTGTTTAGAACCCCATTAGGCTTGTAGCATACTCTGTGTTGTCGATGTTAATTGTTAAGAATAATACAAATCAAGTGTATACATGCAGTTATATATATATATATATCTGGCTTGTCAGCATTCTGATACTCACCTATTACTTGTTCGTCCTGATTTATAACTGGTAGTCTGTGGATCTTCTTCTTGAGCATCAGAACCGCAGCATCTGTAGACGTTAGGCATGTACTGTTAGATTTAACTTATGTAAAAAGCATACATGAAAAGAAAAGAAAAGGTGAGATGAAAGCAAAGATTACCCATCACAGTTTTGTCAGAAGATAGTGTGATGGCTGGAGAGGTCATCACTTCTGAGACCTTTGTCTTTGACTGTTACAAGTAATAGATCAGTGAACAAAATGGATGTGCTCCTTTCCTTTCGTATTAAACTAGCAACTTGATGCGTGTGCGTGTGTGTTATTTGTGTGTGAGAAAGAGGGGAAGAGAGAGCTGACCCCATGAGAAGCTCTGGCCCGGTCATTCTTGACGACCACCCCAACACATCTGAGGCTGCTGTCTACAACTGGAAGCCCTGACACGGCCTCAAAGTGGCATTCGACCTCCTCCAGGGTCTGATCTGCTGTGGCCACTAGCACAGGTGTTGACATGGTCTCACCCAAGAGCGCCACGTGCTGTATTCACATCACACACACACAAAAAAAAGTACAGAGTTCAGCAAGAGCTGAAGGAGTTGAAGAGAGGTGGAAGGAGATGAAAGAGAGCCATAGAGGTAGTAATAGTGATAGCAAGAAGAAACCGAGATCAAGTACCTGATCATCTTCTACATGGGCCGTCTCCTGCGACTCGAAGTAGGCGCGGAGATCGTCGTAGCTCAGAAGGGAGACGTTCTCAGGCCACACCCCCGAGATGATTGCCTCAGGGTTCTCGTCGAGCTCAAGCCGGAGGCTGGCGTCCACGAAAGTCGACGCCCTGCACTGAAAGGTCGGTGACCCCTTTCCCCCACTACTGCCCCTAGCCCTTGTGCTGATCTTTGCTCCTCTGGCAATGGAGCAACTCTGGAAGGTGCTGTTGATGCATGCCATGGATGGATGGATGGAAGGGGACTGTTGGTGATCACTCTCCTGTGGGCGCCTGTCTCACTTGTTTCTGTATGTATCCCCTTGCAGAGGAGGGAGTTTTATAACAAGAAGACGACTGTCAGGGAGCTGAGCCGAGGTGGATAGGAATGCATGGATAGCAGCATGTCCCACCAGTGACTGCTGGCACTACTGATGGACTCTGACTGGATGCTCCTGCTTTTTCATCTTCTGTGATGTGAAGACTAAGAAGGGTTAGGCTGCTCACTGCAGGTTGGTTGATACTTGGGAGTTACTAGCAGTAACTGTTATGCTCAGCCTAAGCCCTAAGTGGCTGTGACTTGCTGTTAACAAAACCAACGTGTAATTACTGGAGGTAATGATGATAATGCAGCTTTCATTTACCCTGGGGCAAGTAAGAATTTTGATCTGGATATGTGTGCCCAATTCTGAGGGCGACATGGGTGAAGGACGCTTGGTTTGATTTCTGTCGTTGCTCTGAATCTGCCCCGTTTCGGATGTGGATTGACTTGGAAATTTGGACGAGCTGCCTGCCTGCCTGCTGGAATTGGAGCTTCCCCTCCAAGGCCTTGTTTAGATTGAAGATAATTTCAACCCGATGAATAGTAGCACTTTCGTCTTATTTGGTAAATATTGTCCAATCGTAGACCAACTAAGTTCAAAAGATTCATCTCGTGATTTTCAACTAAACTGTGCAATTAGTTATTTTTTTTACCTACATTTAATGCTCCATACAAGCGGCTAAAAATTAATGTGATGGAGAGAGAGTGAAAAAACTTGGAATTTTGGAGTGATCTAAACAAGGCCCAAGCTCCAATGATGGGTGGGTTCTTTTGTACAGGGACAGGGACGGGGGCGGCCCACGTGGTGTGCCACCACTGGCCGCCGAGATTCCTGCGGGCCCCTGTCACGTGGCAGTGGATAAGGTGACGTATCTCTTGATACTCTCTCCATATAAAAAAAATAAAGTTATTTTGACAGCAATACGGTCTTCGAAGCATAACTTTGACTACTTATTTTTATAAAGATATTTATTAAAAAGTGATATATGTAAACTTTTGTGAAAATATTTTTCAAGACAAATCTATATATATGGTTTTCACATTTCCAAACTCAGCAACTTAAAAGTTATTCATGATTTATATTCTCAATGTTAGACGTAAGCCTTGTCCAAAACAACTTTATTTTTTAGTACGGAGTGAGTACACTTTTTGAGTTGGGCCTTGTTCACTTTGCAAATTTTTTTAACTCGATGAATAGTATCACTTTCGTCTTATTTGGTAAATATTGTCCAATCGTGGACCAACTAGGCTCAAAAGATTCATCTCGTGATTTCCAACTAAACTGTGTAATTAGTTATTTTTTTTACCTACATTTAATACTCCATACAAGCGGCTAAAAATTGATGTGATGGAGAAAGAGTGAAAAAACTTGGAATTTGGATGGCATCTAAACAAGACCTTGGTGAATTTTGGAGTTGCAGATTTTTCCACTAGCTAGTTTCGTGATCGGGTGGCCTGTGAATTTGTCCTGTATGGTTGGCCTCTGTTTTGGTAACTAGTGACACACTTGCAGAGCTCATGGTTTCCACGGAAGCCGCGGCCGCGGTGGTGGTGATCACTGATCATAGCGCTCCCTCCCCTGGGTTTGGTGCGTGCTGGCCCTGTTCGCTTCGCTGAAAAAATAAACAAAAATACTGTTCCGACTGATTTATTGTGAGAGAAAAACATTGTTTCAGCTAAAAAATAGTTGAAAAAAACGGATTATAAGAGAAACGAACGGGACCTCGCCTCCTCTACTAGGAACGAGCCAGGTTCTCTTCATCCTCAAACCAATCACACTCATATTGTACTTTTATAAGCATACGTAAAAGATTGAGTCGGAAGATATTGCTGTCGATAGGGACGTTTTGGTTTCTCTCGACTTACAAAAGTTATTGACTTATGATAACCCTTGTGAAAACTTTTTTTGTGACAGAGTGATCTGTAATGCTTTTTTCATGTTCGTGTAAAGAGAATTTCCAAAACACGGATTGAATTGATTGAGTTTTCTACAATTTTTTCTGCAAAATTTGGAGTCGCCACTAGAATGCACGCGTGCTTCGGTGGGCCTTTACCTCGTTTTTATAGGCTCTTTTTGCTACTTGTTCTAAAATTTTTTGAAAAAGAAAAGCTTACTGGGAAAGCTACGTAAATAAATAACAAAGTAAAAGTACGGTCCGATCCACCTTTTACTTTTTCATATAATTGAGGACAGTGCCGATGTCAGGGGAAGCTACATAAAAGCGCTTGATATTTTCTCCTGCTTCCTCTACTGGTGTCGCCAAAGAAACATATGATTTTTTTTTTCAAAACACGGACACATTCGCACGCTCATCCTTATGAACGTGTACATATAGATATAAGGCGTAATACCCTGTTTTTTCTCTGACCTGGCCTGCCGGCCTGGCCAGCTGTATGCACGAGGCTTGCTCGAAACACAGTTGGGATTTTTTTTTTTTGGGCTTGGTTCGTGCGAGTGCGCGCCATCTCCCATCTAAGAGAGCGAGTGTACAAATAGGCAAACAAACAAGCAATAAAGCAACTAAACAAGTGATGGGCGTGTGTCCTCTCCCATCCGAGAGAGAGCGTGAGTGCACTAATAGGCAAACAAACAAGCAATGAAGCAACCAAACAAGTGGTGGGTCTTGCATGTACCTTGCCTGTCCCATCATCAGCCTGGATGCTAGGGCCTAGTTTAGATTGTAAGTTTTTTTTTACTCTCTCTATCACATCAAATTTTTGACACATGCATAGAGTATTAAATATAGATAAAAAAATAACTAATTACACAGTTTGATTGTAAATTATGAGACGAATCTTTTAAGCCTAGTTAGACCATAATTGGATAATAATTATCAAATACAAACAAAAGTGCTACAGTGTCAAATACTTGTTTGTAACACACATCTAAACAAGGCCTAGGAATGAGCCAGGCTCTCTTCATCCTCAAATCAATCATGCTCATATTGTACCTTTATGATCACCTCTAAGAGGTTGAGCCACAAGGTATTAATATTGACGAAGCGCGCCCGCTAGGGATGTTTTGGTTATCCAAAGACTTATGAAGTTATTGATTTATGATAGCCCTTGTGAAATCAACTTTTTTGTGACAGAGTGATTTGTAGTGTTTTTTCATGTTCGTGTAAAGAAAATATCCAAAACGATGGATTGAATTGATTGATTTTCTACAAATTTATCTGCAAAATTTGTAGCCGTCACTAGAATGCACGTGTGCTTCGGTGGGCATTTATTACCTCGTTGTTATAGGCTCTTTTTGCTACTTCTTGTCTATAAATTTTGTCAGTTGAAAAAGAAAAACTTACTAGGAAAGCTACATAAATAAAGCAAAAGCACGGTCTGGTCCATCTTTTACTTTTTCATATAAATAAGGACAGTGGTGATGTCAAGGGAAGCCGCAGAAAAGCTTGCTATCTGGTTGTTAGTTTCATCTTATTTTAGCCCTAAGCAGTTTATAGGTTGTACCAAACAAGACTTAGTTGATGCCGCTGCTGATCCTAATTTATTATAAGAAAAATATTGTTTATTTGCTGAAAAGTACTGCTGAAGTTGTGCTAAAAAACAAACAGAGCGATAAACTAGTGACCGGCGTGCATCCTTATTCCCTGAGCATGTCTGCATGTGAGACCAACATGTCAAAATCTGAGCTAATAATAGGAGTCCATCGCTGAAGTTACATAGGTGAAAAGCCACGTAGTTTGAAAAATATATTATACAATCATACACACAAGCACGTGAGATGAAGTTATTATATAATCATAAGCGGATTAATAATATGGTGAAGCGGCAAAGAGAGTGAAATGAAAGGAGAAGGGAGTAAACAAATAAGTTTAACATTCCATGCACGGCCTGGTTACATTGGTTCTCAGTGATCTTGGCAGAGGTTCAAGTTTAAATTTATAACAAAAACAGTAACATGGTATTATAAAAATGAGGGAGCAATTGTGTATCAAACAGTACATGTTATGTGGTCAAGTTTGAATATATACATTCAGTTGAATGTATGACCGAAGAATATGGTTGGGGCTGTTCGCTGGACCGAAGAAACCAGCCCCTCACACGGCACTATTCATCCATTCAGCCAAACAGTGTTCCTCTCTCACACAACCAGCCAGTTTCAGTCAAGATTCTGCCAGCTGAACGGGGCCAAAATCAATATGGCATAGGAAAAGGTGGACATGTTTGACTCCTCTGAGTTCTAAGAGGTGACATATAAGGCCCCATTTGGCAGGGCTTCTCTAGCGGCTTCAGAAGCCGCTTGGAGCCGTTTTCTGCCAAACGAGGTAAAATAAAACGGCTCCACCAATGAAGCCCATAAAAACGTGCTCTCACAGAGCTTTGGGGTGGGAAGGAGCTAAAAAATAGTGGCTTCTCTCGGCTTCACCTCATTCTACATGACGTTCTCTGAGAGCATATTTTAAGAAAAACTATATGTGAAACTGTTTTGCCAAACGATTTATCAAAACGGCTACAGCTCCACCCATAAAGCTGTTCATGGAGCTGAAGCCTCAAAAAATGACTTCATGGGTGAAGTGGAGCCGTGCCAAACGGGGCCTAAGTTGGCACACATGTTTAACAAAGTACATGTAGGAAAACAATTAGAGCAACTCCAACAACTCGGCTATTCTTGTTTTGTAGGTTATTTTAGAATTTGTTTAACAAAAAGTAGGTTCCAACAAATATGCTATAAATTAGGAAGCTGACTATCTCTTGATTTTCGTTAGCCATATAAAAGCAACCACAGGAGATAGCTATCTGAAGATGAGAAATAGTAAGTTGCTGTGGACCTCTTCTCTTTTTTTATGAGATTCCTATTATATTTTATAAAATAGCTAAACTATTGAATTTGGCTAATAATTTTAGCAGTCGTTAGATAGTACGGGAAAGCCAACCAAGAAGGCCACAACACGCGTCGAGCGAGCATCAGGTGTTGCGTGCGGAGTGCTGTGCGACGGTGTCGCATATTTTGTTCCGCAGCAATATGACCGTGAGCATCCAAAACCCTTTGCATAGATTTGAGATGTGATGGGCCGTACAACGCTCGGTGGAGTAGTGGGCTTCTGTGGGCCTCCATGGAGCCCAACAAAGGAAGGGAGCCAGGCCGTCAGGAGACCGACCCGAGCCGGCCAATGAAGCCTGCGTCAGGCGTGACGGCAGCTGCGTGGAGGGCGACAAATTCGTGAGTCACGGCACGTTCCGTTCCAAACGGAGTAAGACCAACCACAATGTACCCATAAGAGTAAATATTTTCTACCAGATACATAAAACATCGTGAACTCAACAATAGAGTGGTCTATAGCTAAAGCTATATTGACTGTCCATAAAAAATAAAAAATCATTTTCTCTAGGGACCGAGCTGCAGCTCGGATGGTGAGCTCTCCCGACAGTTCGAGCCCCTCTTCGGCTCAGTGATTTCCCACCGTAGGGATTTATTCTCTAAAAATAATTTTGCAGGTCCTGAACATTTGCGTGGCATTATAATGGGATTACGACGTGTCCGTTGTCTACGAGGCTTGTGTGGCTTCGGTGATTTCTAGAAGGATGTTTGAGATGTATAGGTTGTATCTTCTAGAGGTGTGCATGTGTGTGGTGGTGTGAGTGTATTGTGTAGAGTACAGATAATACAACTTGTACCCTAGGAGTCCAGGCTCAAAAAAAATCATTTTCTCTATTGTTCCTGTTCTCCCTCTGTTCTCCATCCACCCCAGCAGTTGGTGGTGGCGCTCAACAGCTCCGTCCGAGTCTCCGGTAGGCCATCGCCTCAGCCCTTGGGCGTCCGCGCCGCCGGCCATCGTCATCGGCGCCCGTGCGCCGCAACGCCATTGTCGTCGTCATCCGCGCGCCGCCAGTGTCGTTGGCATCCGCGAGCATCCGCGCGCCCCAGCGAGGTTGACGCCGCCGGCATCCGCGCGCCCAGCGAGGTCACCGTCCCGGGCGTCGGCACCCTGGCAAGGCTGCGCGTGGACGACAACGCAGATCAGACGAAGAAGAAGCTCGAGTCTGATTCGGTGGAGATAAGTCCGCCCGACCTTGAGGACGCCGCTCCAGCCATCCACGCCGCCCTTGAGGTCGCTGCCCCGTCCATCCCGATCGTTCGCGAGGTGCAGAGGAGCGTCGGAGGCCCATGTCCCCACGGCGGAGGGCGGGGCAACGACGGGGATGAGGATGGAGAGGAGCGGGGACGCGCCAGGGGGGGATGGAGAGGTGCGGGGACGTGCCAGCGGTAGGGATGAGGGCTGCGCATCGGAGGCGAGTGAAGGCGGCATGGCATGGGCGCTGGAGGCGGCGATTTGCCGGGGCATTTGGCGACGCTCGCGAGATGGGGAATCGTGGGAGAAGAGACTTGGACAGTTGGGTGTCTTTTTTTTAATGTGTTGTGGGCCCCAGTGTAGGCTCCATCTTATGGGCCGGACATTGTGAAAGATGAAATAGTAAAGGACCACTGATGTTGGGCTCCTTCTTATGGACTGGTTTTGCCATATACATTGAGCTTGTTCTAATGGCCATTACTATATCGGGTGATACGTATATCCTGTCGACGAAAAGAAAAAATGATGAAAGATTTATTAGATGAATTTCATGCTGGTAAAACTCAACACATGGGAATGTTGAAAATTGGACATGAAACCACTGCAGTGCCAGATCATCTCTTTTTTAGTTGGCAGATTAATTAATAAACACAGAACCATCTAAATTTTTTTAGATTGCCCTCGTTTCACAGACAACACTGCTGTTTTTTCTAAGAATAAATAAATAAATAATGCTCCAACATACTTACAGGTGGACCCAAAAGATGAAAAGAAATCGGTATGAACCATTGTTTGGAAAATCTGAAAGGGAGAATTTTTTTTAATAAACCCTACGGAACATAGATGAAATAAACAAAGTAATAAAAATGATTCCCTAGACAGAAGATGCAGAAAGAGTATACGCCCATTGGTTTTCGTTTACGTTTACGTTTATGCGTAGTTGGCATCAAGCTTTTATATTGCTGTAGCATTATTTTCGTAGTAGATGAAATTTTAGTTCTGATCATAGAAGAATATAAAGAGGAGGAATGCTGCTGCACACAAAGATAGAGACAGTGATGCATTAAGAAAAAGGAATATGCTGGGAATTAAATTAATTAATTTATTTAGGATATAAATGTAGAATGCTAGGGACGGAGGAAGTACCGGTAATTAGCCACCGAACACCTTCATTATCGTTTCGTGCTTTTGAACAATTGTACTGAAACCTTTGAACAATTTCAAAACTGCTGCACTTAGAGATGAATAATGACTTTTGGATGGGGCGAAGACGCACAACATGTATATCGATCGAAGATGGCAAAGAGATAAATACATACGTACACGTAGGAGTGTATGTATATACAGTAGTCGAGTATACGTACGTGGTACGTACTAGACTAGCAGTATCTAAAACGTGCAAGCAATGGCTTCTGGAGGGTAGTCGGCGTCATGGACTGGGCATTGTTTAGATACTACATGTTTAGGGTAGTCGGCGTCATGGACTGGTGTTGTATTTTATGGGGGCGAACGTTTTGTTTAATTACCAACGATTGGATAATTATTACCAAATAAAAACAAAACGATCCTGATGCCGGCGCCAAATCGGTACCCAACTAAACACGGCCCTGGTGTGATTGATCCTGATCCTGATCCTGCTGGTTTCAATCGAGATCCGTGCCTGCCCGTGTGGCGTGGGGGTGACGTGCCGGCGCGGCGCCCATAAGAGAAGAGGGAGAGGAAGCAATCAATTCTCCAGACTCCTCCGCAACCGCTTCCGACTTCCGCATCCGCTTTCTTGGATAACCACGACGCCCGCCCGCCCGCCGGCAAGCGAAGGCGAAGGCGAAGGCGCGAAGCGAGTCAGCCATGGAGAAGGCGATCGATCGGCAACGGGTCCTCCTGGCGCACCTCCTCCCTTCCGCGTCCCCCTCCGCCTCTTCCTCCTCGCAGCCTCAGCTTGAGGTGAGCGTCCCGATCTGCTACATGGTTCGTCTCTCTCTTCCTCACGGATTGGGTTGGCTGATCGATTTCCCTGCTGCGTCTGCGTCTGCGTCACGGTCCAGGCATCGGCGTGCGCGGCCGGGGACAGCGCCGCGTACCAGAGGACCTCCTCCTTCGGGGACGATGTCGTCGTCGTCGCGTAAGCCTCCTTCCCTCCCTCCTACACTAACTTTTCCCCTCTCTCTCTCTCTCTCTCTCTGTATAATATAAGACGATTCCTAGACATGTGGTGTGCTAGCTACCTGATCTTGTGCCGCGCGAGCTGAAATCGCTGCTCGCCCCTTCTAATCCTGCTCGATAACTCAGGCCTGGCTCGGCCAGGGGGAAACTCCATGATTTAGTTTGCTTATTATTGTTAATTTGTTATTGCCTTGTACTATACTATACTACTTAGCAGCAGCGAGAACGCGTCACAAAGTCAAATTAATTTACGAGCATGATACATGATAGCTTCAAGGAAACCACTGATGCACAGGCAAGCTAATCCAACCAATTCAATTGAATCCAACAAAATCAAAGTAGACCTACCTTACCTTTGCAGAAAACCAGAAACGCACACCTTTTGTGAGGGAATCACAAGGCTCTGCTGTTTTAGTCGTTGCACTATCAGTCTATCTGAACATACATGAGATAATTACGGATACCATACCATTTCCTTCGTTGCCGTTACGGACTTACCGTGTCACTGCAGTGCGTACCGGACGCCGATATGCAAGGCCAAGCGAGGAGGCTTCAAGGACACCTACCCAGAGGACCTCCTCACTGTTGTTCTCAAGGTTCGCTCTTGTTGGCTTATTTCACTGCCCCCTTTTCACATGCAGTGGTTAGCCATGCTTAATAAACATGCATAAGAGTTTCCATTGCAAGCGACTGGGTGTGCTTTAGAAAAGTTTCACGCGCTTATTGTTCTGTTTCCTCCGTTTCCGTTCCGTACAGGCTGTTCTGGACAACACTAGAATCAATCCAGCTGACATTGGTGACATCGTGGTTGGTACGGTGCTCGGTCCTGGTTCCCAGCGTGCGATCGAGTGCAGGACGGCTGCGTTGTTTGCTGGATTCCCTGGTAATGCCTGTGTTTGCGATCATGCGTCATAATACCCTAATCTGATGAGGATTGTTATCTGTTGCACAAATGTTCACTGTCCCTTCTTTGTTATTGTAGAAACCGTTCCTGTTAGAACTGTCAATCGCCAGTGTTCATCTGGGCTACAGGCAGTAGCTGACGTCGCGGCTGCTATAAAGTCTGGTTACTATGACATAGGTACTATCTGACTATACATGCTAGTTTTGCTGTTGTGCTTTAGTTTGGCTGCTGAATCGCCGCTTTCCCTCCAAACAGGGATTGGTGCTGGTTTGGAATCCATGTCCATAAATTCCATGGGTTGGGAAGGACAAGTTAACCCAAAAGTAAGGATTATAAACCACACTGTAAATTGAAATAGATTCTTCTTCTTTTTTTATAAAAAAAACTTCCATAACACATTTTCCTCTGCAGATAACTGCACTCCAGAAAGCACAGGATTGTCTTCTGCCCATGGGAATTACTTCTGAAAATGTCGCCCATCGATATGGTGTAACCAGGCAAGAGCAAGACCAGGCCGCTGTGAGTTCCTCATTAAGCACGTACTGTATTAATTAATTAATTAATTTCGGTTAATATAACAACTAAAGCTTTGTTTTGTCAGGCTGAGTCTCATAGGAGAGCTGCTGCAGCCACGGCCTCTGGAAAATTCAAGGATGAGATCGTCCCCGTGCCAACAAAGGTAAGACGGAGTGAAGCTCTGCAACTTCTTTCAAGTAGAAACTAGCAACAGCTTAATGTTAAAGTTGTTTTTAGCTATGTCAATATATACAAGTAACTAATGTGCTTGTTGTCTGACCAAAATTTCAGTCTAGTTATCTAGGAACAACAGAGTTTTTTAATATTTGTTATTTTGAGCGTTTGCTGACACTACGTATTCTGCAGATTGTTGATCCTAAAACTGGAGAGGAGAAGAAAGTTGTGATATCAGTTGATGATGGGATTAGGCCAGGGGCCACAGCATCCGGATTGGCAAAACTTAAACCAGTTTTTAAAAAGGATGGGACTACAACTGCAGGTATTGCAGAAGTCAACCTTTTCTGGTGACCCTCCCTTTGCAGCTAGTTTTTTTTTCGCTCTCTGCCGAAACATTATCTGATAAATCAATCAAACTGTGTAGGCAATTCTAGTCAAGTGAGTGATGGTGCTGGAGCTGTTCTTCTCATGAAAAGATCTGTGGCTCTGAAGAAAGGGCTTCCTATTCTTGGTGTTTTCAGGTGCTTAATTTACCTTCCCATATATTCATGCAGAATTTTGATTAGTTCACTTTGCGTTTGTCATTGTTGTTCAGACATATTTCGCTCAATTCATTGTTACGCTCAACTGTTGCTTGACATCGTCTATTAGGAGCTTTGCCGCTGTTGGAGTGGATCCAGCTGTTATGGGCGTTGGTCCTGCTGTGGCCATTCCTGCTGCAGTGAAGTCTGCTGGCCTTGAGATTGGAGACATTGATCTGTTTGAATTGAATGAGGTATGTGTTAATTGCCTTGATCTACACCCTGTTCTCTCACCTATTTATCTGTAATATCCAATTCCTGAATCATCCATCTGTCTGTAGGCCTTTGCCTCTCAATTTGTTTATTGCTGCAACAAGTTGGGGCTGGACCGTTCCAAAGTAAATGTAAACGGAGGCGCAATTGCCCTTGGACACCCTCTGGGTGCAACAGGTAATGGAACATCTACTTTAATGTGAGATTATCAGGGAACTGCTCTACCATTGCCGTTGGTACCTATTACTATTTTTTTTTTTTCCTGAGCAAAAGCTGTCTAAACTGGTGATTCGTTGTATCGTTCAGGTGCCCGGTGTGTGGCTACTCTTCTAAATGAAATGAAGCGCCGGGGCAGAGACTGCAGATTTGGCGTTGTCACCATGTGTATCGGTTAGTTTTATTACTTGCACATACTCACATGCGGACAAGACTACAAGCAAAGAATGTCAACGCATAGATGTAACTTGATCACTTCTGTAATTGATCATGTTGTGCCATGACAACTGCAGGATCTGGAATGGGGGCAGCAGCTGTGTTTGAGCGGGGAGACGCTGTGGATGGACTCTCCAACGTGAGGGACACCCAGGCGCATAATTTTCTGTCAAGGGATGCAAAGTAGAGGTGCAGAAAAATCATCCATCCTAGAGCAGCATAAGCCTGCTACATTAGTACTAATACGACATCCGTATATTTTTTTCTTCACAAACACTACTCTGTTTACGACAAATAAAAGGGCGTCATACAGTATCCTCTTGTAGCCACCTAAGATGCGAAAGCAGAAAAGAAAAGGGCCGGGTGTTGTAGACAGCTCAATGTTCTGAGCTTATTCTGTTATTACCTTTTGTCTCAGACTGAACAAACAGCAAAAATCTTGCTCGTTGCCTTTTGTGTATTTGAACCAGAAGGATGAAGAGAGCACCTTTGTGCGCTAGGCTGGTTAAAATTCCCAATCTGTTGAGACGCTTGCTTGCTATACCACTGTTGTCTAGCAATAGTAGTTGGTCGCATTTTGTTCAGTGTGCTGGACGAACTGGTATCTGATTCAGTGGTGTAGCTTATAGTTATTATAGGTGATACTGCGCTAATAGTACTGTTTGTTAAGATAGGCCATGCCTGAAATGGCCCCATCATCTGTAAACTTTGATCTATCCAAGGCAGCCCTTAAGAGGCGTGGATGCTTGAACAAGAAAAGAGATCCAGATTCAACCTGTCTTAACGAGGTGAGATGAAATTAAATTTCATTTAAAATCAAGTATTTTGATTTCAAATGAAAAACCAGTGAAATTGTAACAATTTTGGAATGAACCAACTTAACGATTTCTTTTTTGTCTAGCTAGGTTGGTGGCCCTAGCCCAACCAACTATCTATGAATCTTCCATGTTAATTAGGGCGTTCAGTTGATCAAAAAATAAAAATTAGGGCGTTCAGCCAGCACGGGAAGTAAGGACTCGTATACTCATTTTCATTCATTGCCAGTAACGAAAAGCCACCCAAAATATCTGTCGTTTTCGTTTCCCGAGAAACAATTTTGATAAAATATATATTAAAAAATATTAATATTTATGGTACATAATTAGTATCATTGGAAAGATCTTAGAATCTAGTTTTTTAATAAATTTATTTAGAGATACAAATGTTGCACGTATTTTCTACAAATCGAGTTAAATTTGTGGCACGAAAACCAAAAGCGATAGATTATTTGGGACAGAGGGAGTAGATGAGTGAGCACCAATGCTAACGGATGTACGTTCATTTGCTTTCAGTTGTTCCTTTTTAACATGCCTTACTTTTGTTAGATGTTTATATTGATGAAAGTGATCTAAATACTCCTCGCAATGCCTTACTTTTGTTGGATGTTTATATTGATGAAAGTGATCTAAATACTCCTCGAAATGTGTTGACCTGAGGATAACAAATTCTTCGTGCCCTGAGAGCAACTGCAAAAATGTGTTGACCCCTCACAGGGAAGGACATTCATGTAAAAAACGATGAATTAATTCTTATTCTAAAAACCAATGTGAGACCCATGTATAATAAATAAAATTAAACAACCCACAAAGCCTCTTTTCCACCTTCTTTTCCTCTACCACACCAGCATTGTTGCCATGAACATTCTGTTGACCTAGAGATTAGTTAGTTAGATCACCTTGGCTAGTCGTCAAGTCGGAGATCCAGCACTCCATAGATGATCATGTCGAGCTCATTGACCGTGTTGATCGTACCTCCGCCTCAGCCTCATCCATAAATTTACGATCGTTTACGACAAGCCACAGCCAAACGAACAGGCTGCTCGTCGACCACATCCTTGTCAGTCCAAACCTTGTCGAGCCAAGCCAGAAGTTCAACGTGTGTGCTTGTTGATCGTATCTCTGCTCGACCTCATCAACCTAGAGCTAGAGGTCTGTCTTGACTCGTTTGTGTCTCATTGGAGACGCCCTAGCCCCTAAGGGTAACGACCACGTTACGAGCTATTCTCTTCGTCCCATTGAAAGTGTCATTTTTTACTTTTAGGCTTTTTTTTATCGTTCGTCTTACTCAAAATTTATATATAAATATTATTTATTTTGTTATGACTTATTTTATCATTAGAGATACTTTAATAATAATTTATTTATTTTATTATTTGCATTAAAAAATTAAATAAAGTGAACGGTCGAACAAGAAGCCTTAAACTAAAAAACGACACTTGCAATAGAATAGAGTGAGTAGACTAGAGAAGCGTAAAGTAGAAAGTACGCTTTTATTGCTACAATGTGAAGTTTCCAGGCAAGGCGCTTTCAGTTGCATTCTCGATTATCGTGGATCCCCAAATCCTTGTGCTTCAGATCGGTGACGGAGCCGCTTGCTTCGCAGCAGGATCGACCGGAAGGCGGGCAGCCAGGCGGCAGGCAGCGGCGGCGAGAGCACGGGTGGCACCGCCTGGACGGACGCCGTGGATCTCGGCGGTTCTTCGCGGGCTTGCGCAAAGCGCGTGCGCGACGAGCTCCGCTGTCCGACTACCTGCGCCTGAGGCAGGCGGCACGGACCGGCGGCGATGAGCGGCGGCGGCGGCGGGAGCCCCAACAACACGGAGTGGCGCTTCAACCAGACCCTCCGCAACGTGCAAGGGTAAGCCAGTCTTTCCTCCCTCGCACGAGGCTTTCCCCCCTTCGGTCCGATTGCTGCGAAATGAGACAGGCTCGTGGATGCGGCTATGGCTTTGCTTATCAGACTGTCAGTACACTAGAGTGCAGTTCCTAGGTTGCAATTCCCGAAGAAATGCTCTTGATATGTTTCTTTTATCTACACACCACGGTTTCTGAATTGTAATCTGAAAATAACCAAATTGCACTTTATAATTTGTATCCTTGCTATTTCTGTTGTTTCCATCTAGATCTCAACGCGATGGTCTGGTTACCATCGCTAGACATTGTATACCCTACCTGCTTGTAACCTTACAGATGATCACCGGTTGCTTTTCCAAACTGTCAGAATGCTCAAAGGACGCAGCTTTCCTGGGAAGGTTTTGCTAACCCGGCGATCTGAGCCTCTTTCCCCTCCTGATTATTCTCCAAGATTTGAGAGTGAGCACGAGGAAGATGAGCGCAAGGAGGGTTCTCAGGAGGTAATGTGCTGTTAGTTTGATTGCTTTTGGCATGTAAAGAAGATGTATTGAAACTGATGGAGTGTATTGTAACTGATGGAGTTGTAACTGTCAAACTGTGCAGGGAGAAGGTCAAGCGTCTGGAAATTCATTTGACAGTGCAAGTTCAAAGAAATCAAATCTTCTGTCAACAAGTAGTTCAAATTCATTGCCAGATGCCCAAGGGCTAGTTTCTGGGGCTAGAGCTACCGATTCTGCAAGAATTGCTAAATTCACAATGGAACTATCTAGGCCAGCTGTTATATTAGGTATGTGGATTATTCTTTGTAGTGTATCATTTGGAGTTCATCATCAATTTTGCCTGAAGTAGTTTGATCTCAAAGTAAACATTATGGCTGATCATCTCTAAAATCTAATTTTCTATTTGGATCCTTTTGGATTATTTTGGTCTGGAAGTCAAACGTCACAAGTAGTTAAACTTATGTACAATGATATGACAAGTGTTTGTGGAAACTATGTTTGCCACTTCTATTTATGAATTGAGCTTGCTTTTGTTGGTCCTAAAAGGTTATTTCAAATACAAGGAAAACTAGCGATTTTAGTATATCCAGTGCAATTGTAAACATCGGTTTCTATCTCAGTTCAGAGTTGATAAATCATCAATATTTAATATCTTCTGATTATTCAAGGTTACCTAGAACTTAGTTGACATCTGCTGTATATCCTCCATTCTGTAGACAAATTGCGTGAATTATCTTGGAGCGGTGTGCCCCCATATATGCGACCTAATGTATGGAGGCTTCTTTTGGTGAGTAGGCGAGAAGGCGTTAAGATCATATAGCTTCTTGTGAATATGCTGTTTCAATATTTGAATTTAATATAGCTGGCTACAGGGATATGCACCGCCTAATAAAGATAGACGAGAAGGTGTTCTAACAAGGAAAAGACTGGAGTACGTGGAATGTGTTTCTCAATACTATGATATTCCGGATAGTGAACGCTCAGATGAAGAAATTACTATGCTTCGCCAGGTAACCTTTTTGACTTGTAACTTGCTGACTCATTCCCTCACCCTATTTGAATCATCTTACACCTTTTTGACTTGTACATCTGGTTCTGCAGATTGCAGTTGATTGCCCAAGAACTGTACCTGATGTTACCTTTTTTCAGAACCCTCAGATTCAGAAATCTCTTGAGCGCATTTTGTATACATGGTAAGGTGTGAACTTGGCTGAATAGTTTTCTTTCTGTGGGAGTATCAACATAAAATTTTTTCCCTTTTGCCACTTTGATGCATATTTTTCTGCAGTTGTTAACCTGCCGTATGCATTTATGCTTATTGTCAGTTTGGAAATCACTGCTTTTGCAAAAGTCATCTTTACCCATTGCAACTCCATGTATTATGTGGGAAAACTTGGTTAAATGGATGGGATTTTTTAACCAAATAAGTTACTTTGCCATAGATCAAGTCTTCTTTGTCTTGACGTATTATTGTATGGATTTCAACGCAGAGCACTTTCCCTTTTTTTTTTCTCGAACACGCACGGGAGTTGCGTATTAGTAAATTAAGGAAGAAGAAAGGGTAAAGAATCAGGTTACACACACGCACACAGAAAGCTTTCTTGTTATTACACTGGCATGATTATTTGTTTCCTTTGATATGGGTTCTCTATTTCACCCACATGTAGACCAGTTCTGTTAGCGCCAGCATGACATCTCCATCTTTTTCATATTTTCGTATCTTTGATCTCTACTAGTATATCTCCTGTATTTTTTGGCACTTTTTCCTTCATTTAGATGTATTATTATTTATTCTAAATTTATTTTCTTGATTTGGTAGTAACCTGGTTCTTTTAATATAATTCTCATGCAGACCTGTTTTGTTGGTGCAAGCATGACTTTTGCTAATCTTTTTGGCCTTTGGCTATGTTACTCATACATCATTAGGGTTGTGTTTAGTGGGTTTTCGTCATTGTTCTTTGATATGGTGATTTCAGGGCTATTCGTCACCCAGCAAGTGGCTACGTCCAAGGAATAAATGACCTTGTTACACCCTTCTTGATTGTGTTCTTATCAGAGCACCTAGAGGGCAACATGGACACTTGGTCTGTATACAATCTTTCAGCACAAGATATTTCTAATATAGAAGCAGACTGTTATTGGTGTCTCTCGAAGTTTCTTGATGGAATGCAGGATCATTACACCTTTGCGCAACCAGGAATTCAGCGCCTTGTTTTTAGATTGAAGGAACTAGTTCATCGTATAGATGGTAACGTTCCACTGATCCCATATATTTCCACTTATGGTTTCATTTCACTCTGAAAACACAAATGTAATGGTTGTTCCATCTCAAATAATTGTGGTGGGATAGCAGGAACTTAAGGATTTATAGGGCTCTTCTGTGGTGATAACTAATGCATTTTTTTAGATACATCAGTTTGAAAGTGCCTAGTCATTGATTGCTTACGACATGGGATCTGCTCATAAAACTAGAGTTCCCTTTTCCATATATTGGAAACACACTTATCTTATTGGTTGTATGCAGAACCTGTATCCAAGCACATTGAAGAACAAGGATTAGAGTTTCTTCAATATGCCTTCCGTTGGTTCAACTGCCTTCTGATACGAGAGGTTTGTCTTGTAACACTTGATGTGATATTTCTTATACACACCACAAAATTGCCAATCTGTCTCATATCATTGCAGGTACCTTTTCATCTTGTAACACGCCTGTGGGATACATACCTTGCTGAAGGCGACTATCTACCAGATTTTCTTGTGTACATATCAGCTAGTTTTTTGTTGACTGTAAGTCGCCTGTGAACGATGTTAATGGTTTTTTCTTTGTTATTACATCGACAGCAATCTGTCTGTCATGCTCGTGAGAATTCCAAGTTCCTTGTACTGATAGTTTCAAAACCTTTTCCCCCCTGCAGTGGTCGGACAAGCTGCAGAAGCTGGATTTTCAAGAGATGGTGATGTTCCTTCAGCACCTTCCCACAAGGACCTGGGCGCACCATGAGCTCGAGATGGTCCTGTCGAGGGCGTACATGTGGCACACGATGTTCAAAAGCTCTCCCAGCCACCTTGCCAGCTAGGACCCACCCAGTTCGTCATGCCTGTAAGCAGCAGTTTGTTCTGTTTTTGTGAAGCGCGTGCCGCACCGATTTGTATATATTTTTTTTCCTACCGAGGAATCATGATCTATAATGAACACCAAAGGACAAATATTAGTGCTCAATTTGATACCCGGACTGCCAGTTGTATTGTTTGCCGCCTCTTGGTGGTGCAAGGCCTGCACTCAAGAGTCAAGATCCCCTTCCCATTGTAGCTGAGACACAGTGCCTTTTTCCAACTATATGAGATGCTTGTTCCCTGTTTTGTGAAACGCAGAGAAACACTGACCCTTAGCTGTGGCTTGGGTGATGGTCCGTTGTCCCTTTGTTTTCATTTCATTTCACGCACTGTGAGCATGTGATTGGCCTCATTCGGCTTACCCCATATTCGGCTTGTTTGGCTTGTTTTTTCAGCCGAAACAGTGTTTTTCTCTCACAACAATTCAGCCGGAACAGTGTTTTTCAGCCAGTTTCAGCTAAGATTCATACCAGCGAACGGGGATACTAACAAGTGGTGGTAGCACTAGCGCATACATCGGCGGAAGCACATCTCTTTCCGAGCTGTTTTTCATCGAGCTAGCTAAGCTAGTCAGGGCTGTTTGTTTGCCTTTTCCTGGAATAATCTCAACTGAAGGCATGCGGTTCCCATGTTTGTTCAGTTCAGTGGGCTGGAATAATCTGAACAAAGGCTGGTAATGCAGTTGCTATGTTCTTGAGGCTTGTTATTAATTGGAAAGACGTTGGTGAGATGTTTGGGGCACACCCACTTTACTTGCAGCTCTGTTTTGTGCTGGTGCTGGTGCTGGTGCTGGTACCAGATTCAGGCTGAGCTTTACCCTGAATACTCTCTCATCAGTACTGTATCTAGCTTATGGCTAGACTAGCCTGTGAACTGCCTCTGCTTTGCAAACGAGGCTTAAAGCCTGTCGACCATTATCATATATACTAGACGTGGTACTTAAAGATTGACAGTGAGGCTGGCTGGTGAAGAGAAGGCTGTGGAGGCAGCTACTACAGCTGTGGACCTGTGGTCAGGGTCAGGCCTCAAGCTGCTGGTCAAAAGGAGTAGAGTGGGCACTGTCTAGTGGGGGACAGAAACCATGAGTAGTGCGTACAGGAAATTGCATAATATTATATATGTAAATAATTATAGACAAATTGATAGTAGGAGTACTCCGTACTACTGCTACAGTGGTACGTGCAGCAGGAAGGGAGGGAGTGAGCTAGGAAGAAGATGATTATAGTAAGGCAAGGCAAGACATCATGGTCATTGGCCCTCCAATCCACTGATGCGGATCTTGGGCGCCATCATCGCGGATGATGTGCATTTGTCATCGGAGGCTGGCAGAGTTAGTATTGGTTGGTGGGCCTGCTCCCTCGCAGCGAGACACCGGCCATACCTTGCTCCCGTCTGCTACTGCTAGTAGTGCTAGTGCTACGGCCCACACGCACGCACGGCCGGAGATGTCGACCTGTCCACTGTCCGCTCATCAGCCGCTAGCTGCCACCACCTTCTCTTCCTCTCAACTTCTGGTACAATTCGTCGAAGAACTTGTAGCGCGTATTGGCAAGATCACGTACACAAGCAGTCAAGTTTTCTAGTAGGAGGAGGCTGATTAGCTGACGAAGCACTATACTGCAACATAGGAGTATGCTACTGGTAGGAGTACATTCCAAAAGATATTGCTCCAAACCTTAGATTTAAATAGACCTTTAAATATTGGGAGTTACTATTTACCGATCGATTTGAGCCATCAGTCCATCACCGTGGCCTCCTATTGCCGAAGCCCTAGACTTCCCTGCACCACCACAGTGAGGGCCCGTTTGGTTGGCTTCTAGCTGGGTTACTTGGTCAGACAGTGTCCCTAGGCGTCCTATTTCGAACACCTAGGCCCAGGATCATTTGCTTGCATCTTGTTTAGATTGCAAATTTCAGAGTATCACGTTTGTCGTAGATTGACAGTGTCCCTAGGCGTCCTAGGCCAAAAGACACCTAGGCCCAGGATCATTTGCCTGGTCAAGCACTGTCTCTCGAAGCTCAAAGCAAACACGCCCTATATGTCCCTCGCTTCCTCGCGTCACAGCGACCATAGTAAAGCCCACCCAATGAGCACCAAAAGCTTTTTCACTCGTCGTTGGTTTCAATCCCCATGCCGCCACCTCCTACAGTGCAAGCTACGATGGCCATGCCCATGTCACCATGGAGAAGATTATAGGAGCCTTTTCCCGGTGGTTGTGGCTCACAATTCTAATGCTTTTACAAGGCCCCCACGCCTTCCATCGAAGCTACAGAGCTTAGTAGGCCACCTGTTGGCAATATGGGCCGTATGGGTAGTAAGGCAGTTGGATGGAGAAGACACACTTTTCTTCTATCTCCATGACACGAAGATCTTAGTGACACTTCGTGATACCATGTCATGGACCACGCCGATGAAAACCGATTCTAAGACTATATAGGGGCGGGGCGGTTATATGGTACTGAAAACTGCGATAACCAACTATGTTTGTTTTTTATTATAGCGGGTTAGGGCTTATTTGATGCCCTCATCTAAACTTTAGAGCTTTAAAAGCTTTAAAGCACTTTAGCCCACTTTTAAACTCTAAAACTCTAATGTTAGGTGAATGAAATTAAAGTTTTTAAAGCCTAACTTTAGACTACTTGTTTGGAGCTTTAAATCTAAAAAGTTTATACTGCTTCAGATGCCCTTAAACATCCGCTTATTTTTTCATCCTAAGTTGTTTTTTTCTCACAAATTCCTCCAAAGATTCCTCCAAAATACGCAGAATTCTTCAAATTTGCATGTCGAACATGCCCTATATGACAAAATCCAAAGAGACCCTTAAGCAGCCCTATTTCATAATTTTCTGTCAATTTTTAGTAGTAGTGTAATGAAAAATAGCTGTACAATTCTTTTGCCGAAAAGAAAGAAACAAAAGAAGGAACTACCCCAGCTGCCGTAGGGCAGTGCCAGTGTGCACACACGTACGTGGTTGGTTGGGTTTGACACGTGCGAGCAGCGATGGCTGATGGTGATTAACCAAGGGAGTAGAGAGAGAGAGAGAGAGAGATGAAACGAAAGGAAACGAAAACGAAACAGCTTGGTGGATTGGATGGATGTGGGTGGGGACACTAGGCTAGACTAGCGTAGGAGAGGTAAGACTGTCGGGCCGGGCACGGGGTCAACAGTTGCCGCGCGCCCCCTGTCGGCTTGTCGGGTCGGGCCGGGGCCCACCCCCTACTGTACTGCACTGCACTCTCCGTTGCTTTGCTTTGCTTTCTTTTGTGGTACTGGTGCCTCGTTTAGATTGCAAGTTTTTTCACTCTCTTTCTATATCATCAAATATTTGACACATGTATAGAGTATTAAATGTAGATAAAAAAATAACTAATTACATAGTTTGATTGTAAATTACGAGACGAATCTTTTGAGCTTAATTAATCCATAATTAGACAATAATTATCAAATACAAACAAAAATACTACAGTGCTAAATACTGATTCCTAACTTCAATCTAAACAAAGCCTGGGTGCGCTTTGCGATTCTCGCGTCGCTTTCCCCGTCTCCCCTTGCACTACACCTACAAGCACTCTAGCCCCTTTCGCTACACGCACGCGATCCTGCCTGTTGCATTGCGCTTCTCCCGGTCAATCAAATCAAACGCATCACTACCCGCCAAGCTTAGCCTGGGGGCCGCCCTTGGAATGCTTAGGTATCGGTATCAGTAATTCTGCTAAGTACAGGTGTGTACCACTGTACCAGTACCATTGACATCACTACCGATACATTGGTGTTAAGGCCTGGTTTAGTTCGCGAAATTTGGATTTTGGGGCTACTGTAGCACCTTCGTTTTTATTTGACAAATAGTGTCCAAACATTGACTAATTAGGCTTAAAACGTTCGTCTCGCAATTTCCCACCAAACTGTGCAATTAGTTTTTCTTTTCGTCTACATTTAATGCTCCATGCACGGGCCGCAAACATTCGATGTGACAGATACTGTAGCAACTTTTTGGATTTTGGGGGTGAACTAAACAAGGGCTAAGTGCTCCTTCGTTCTAAATCTTAAGTTATTCTGCTTTTCTAAATACTAGTAAACGTGTTCGTGCGTTGCAACTTGAACCAATACGTATAGTAATAAGGACTGTTGGTTTGGGGGCTCGGGATCAAGAGCCGACCCATGCGGCCGATAGATAGGAGCCATGAGCCAAAAACGAGCTTCTCCAGCTCCGGTCATTGTGAGAGAGAGAAAGGAGGAGAGAGAAAGCGAGTTGTTCAAGTAACTCCCCGTCAATTCGAAGTTAGGCTATTTATCCACGTATCAAGAATTGGTCTTTCTTTATATGTGGTGACTATTTTGGATATTGCGCTGCATAGAAATAAATTTATTTAGGCGGGATTGAACAACAAATATCGTAAGACCTTAACTCGCTGTTTGTTAAGTTGGACCATCGACTGAACTAAGTTTCACTATGAGAAGTTTTATTCCTAATCAGATAAAAATACATCACTAACTTAGTGATAGGAATCTTTGCTTCTTAGGAAAGGTCTTTGTTTTTTACACTTATTATTTTTGTTGGAACCGGATAAAAATGGTTCAAAAAATCGTGAAAAACAAAATTGAAAAATTGGCATGTATGACCGTAAGAAACAAAATAAAAAATCGGCCTTGACGGAAAAACAACAACGGGAGAGTAAAATGAACATGAGTTCGATTGGAAAAATAGACCGGTGAGAGAGTAAATCGGACATGAGTCCGTTCAGGATTTTGCCCAGATGAAAAAAAGGACGACATAAGTTAACGCTCAGAAAAATCGTCTATGTAGTCTCAGAAAAATACAAAGAGGAAAATCGTCGAAGTCGAATTAGACAGACAACAGAAGATGAAGAAATTTTTTGATCTTAATTAACAGGCGTGGAACTGGCAGCAAAAGCTGAACCATGAGCTGATGCACGCGATGACAAAGATAAATTCCCGTGATCATAAAAAATAGCTTTGTCTAATTTATATTTGCTTACTTTCTACTTTTATTTCCTTTTCTATTTCTATTTCAAGTAGGATTCCTATTCAGGCTATTCTAGGCAAGAAGCCTCGTATAACAGAAGGAGGCTATTCAGATTAGGATTTTTATTCAAGTTACCTTAAGAAACCTCATATATTCATGTAATAAAATAGTAGGGGTATAGATGTGTCTAGGACGGTTTCCACGTTCACAAAGTTAGTTAAGGAAGGGCCGGACGAAAAAAAAAAAGGTGGAGAGAAATTTTACCTCTTTAATATTAGGTATAGATATAATAAAATTTATGTATCTGTCGACGAAATCTAGTTGGCAGTCTACCGAGGGGTATGTCTACGGTAGTAGATGAATCGGTGGAGGCGCTGAGGGAACCGGCCAGTGACACAGAACGCAAGAGACAATGATTAGGTAGGTTCAGGCCGCCGACTTGGCGTAATACCCTACGTTCTGTGTCTTTTGGTGGGTTGTATTGCATATGATCAGATGAAAACGAAGGGGGTCCCTACCCGCCTTATATAGCCCGAGGGTAGGGTTACAGATCGATTGTTGCTATCCTGATCGATTTATAAGATAGGAAGTTACAAATATTACGGGACCTAGCATATCCGAGCAGGTTTCCTAGATCACCGAGCATCTTTATGTAGTCTTTTGAGGCACGTCGACCTACGCCGTGCTTCACGCGGCGTCGTCTTGTAAGCTGGGCCTCCACTAGTGGCGCGACCCATGCGCAGTCTTGTGGGCTGGGCTTCCCCTAGCGGATCGGTCCATGTATACCTCTGTGGGTATCGAAGGTCATACCCCCACAGTATCTAACTAAGTACATAAAAAAACTAAACGACTTATAATTTAAGATAAAGGCATCAATAAACTACTCAGTATAGATGGGCATGCATGGATCTAATAAGATAAAATAAAATGTTCAGATGGGTTAGGAAAAAAATTCTACTAAAATACTTGACCTCGAATTATCTTCCATAAATCATTTTCAACATTTATGATGTCATATGAAAGTATGCTCTAAGATAAATCTAATGATATTTCTTTGATACATATAAATATCAATATTTTTATAAAAAAACTTATCAAATTTGAGATGGTTTAGCCTACTTTTTTTTGGGGAGGATGTATTACATTCTCAGTTATTACACTACAAGAGAAATCAATATAACCTCCGAGACTTATATGCAGTCCCATTTATCTTCCCAAGTTAAGCGAGACACTAAGGGCACTCCCAATACTAGAAACTACACCTATTAATTTCTATAGACACTACGTATAAAAATCATGGTCCCAATGGATAGTTTCTACAGAATAATTTTTTATCCAATCACATATATTATCTCTCCATTATCTACCAATCGTATCTCTTCATGTATTGGTTCTCGTGTAGACATGGTTTCTAATTTAGGTCCGGTTCCTATAATTTTTGCTCTTTCTCTTTAATAACTAACTTGCCACTTCAATAACTACCTTGCCATATCAATAAAATGCTTAGATGATAGTATAATTATTATCATAGAAACTATAATGATTTCCGCATTGGGAGAGCCTAACGCTTTAGCAGTATAGTACTAGTAGTCACCGCGCGTTGGGAGTCAGCCTAAACGTTTCGCTTTTTCGTAAAGCGATCATAAATTTTAGCCGGGAATAATGTCATCACCAAAGCTGTCCAACTCCTCCCAATTTGGTAGTGCGTGTAGTGTGCTGGTCTTAGTGCGTGTAGTGTGCTGGTCTTAAATGGATTGCCGAGTGAGGAGGGGGCTCGCCGCTCACGTGATGGGGCTTTTCTCCCCGGCCTTTTGTGATTTTGTCCACCCCTCTCACCTCCCGTTTCTGCGGGCACCCTCGTTGTCCACCCCATCAAAAGCTACCCGGGGCCCACCACCCAACGGGCAAGGCCCAAAGCAGACGACCACTGCAAAATGCTTTGCCTACTCTCTCCTTTTCCCATGTACTAATCTATCTATAAATATATATATATAAAGACCTCTGGTGACTGGGCACTATTCACCTTCAATTTTTCACACCCAGTTTCCTGTTCATTCATCCACAGTTCACCTTCCTTAACCGTCCGATCCGTCCTGCAGCCATCGGATGCTCGCTCATGCCTGCTCCACGCTGCCTGCCGCTGCGGCGCCTCCCCCACGTTCCTCCGCGCCTAATGAGGTCGCACCAGCGCAGCAGCAGGAACGCGCCACCGCAGAGCAATAAAAAAAAAATCGCGAGCCGCGCCGACGCCACCGAGAAAACCCCGCCGCTCATCCAGACTCCGCCGCCTGCGACGCCAGGACGCCGGCCCGCCTGGGCGTCTGCGCCTTCCGCCGCTCCGCCGGCCGCGGTCGCTGGCGCAGTCGCCGCGGCCCAGTATTTCAAACCACCTCTTAATCTCGTGGGGCGTATTCCGCCGGCCTCGCGCGCCGCGTACGGCCGCCGCCTCGCCCCCACGGCGGGGCCCAGCACCGCCGCCGTCCCTCTTCCGGCCATCTCCTTCACGCGACTTCGCCCTTGCGTGCCCGTGCAGCTGCGCCGCATCGCCTCCGGCCACCTCCCCCGCCGCGCTTCGCCCTCGCGGACCCCTGCAGCGGCAACGGCCGCGCCTCACGGAGTCCTGCAGCGGCAACGGCCGCCTATACGGCCCCCTCGCATGGCAAGTGGACCACCAACGTCCCCCTTCCGCCTCGGCGGCACCTGTGCTCCCTTTTTTCCCCTGAATTTTTATGCTCTTGATAGCAGATTAATGGGTGCCGCCGCCGCATCTGGAGGGGCGTGCCGCGTGCCCCCGCTGCTCACTGCAGCGCACGTGCGGCCTACGGCGACTCTGCCGCGGAGATGGACCGAACGGGGCTCCGATCTAGCGTCCACGATGAGGTACACTCCTATCTCCTCTCCTCTTGCCCTCACTCTCTCTAACTCTGGTGTGCCTCAGATCTCCGGTGATAGGCGGGGCTGGAGACAGACGACGAACCGACATGGGTACCTGCGTCGGCGGGGGCGACCACGGGCCACGGCAACCTGACGGGACCAAAGGCGGAGGGAAAAGTGCTGACCAATATAGTCTGCGAACGTTTGAGATTGTGCTACCTTGTTGATTTTGATTTTTTTTATAGAACTGCAACGGATGCAGGCAAGCCGCCACGACCATTGCTCAGCTGTAAGTAACCACGTCGAGCAGCTTTACATATATCAAATTGTTTACTTCCTTTTCTTGACTTCTCTCCTTTTACCTTTCATTTGTATTTTTGGCTTACCAGGAATACTCATATGCTGCACCGGCGTTGTCCCCCCTCCAGCCTCAGGCCCTCGACAGGAGGTTTGCTCTGCGCTTTCGCTTCTTATTTTCTATTTTCCTTTTTTGCCGCAAATGGTATGCAGATGTGAATCCAATTATATGTGCTTACATGTGAAGACCAATTATATAGTCTTCTAAATTCCAATTCTGCGTTTTCTCTTCTTATTTTCTCTTTTCCTTTTTTTGGGCAAATGGTATGCACATGTGAATCCAATTATATGTGCTTACATGTGAATACCAATTATATAGTCTTCTAAATTTCAATTCTAAAATTTATGTGCTTGCCTCCTGTTCGATAATGAAATTGCATGTAGTTGGTTGCCCGGTATTGTATTATCCTGCTGCTGTTGCTTTTTCCTCTCATTATTGATTTGTGACCATGCAAAATCTAGATGGGAAATTAGGATGATACATTTACTTCCTTGAGTCCTTTGTGTTATTCACAACAGTTATCTGAATCAATTTGATCTTTTAGCCGTAAGCAGGAAACGAAGGTGAGAAAAGTCATTCTTTACCTCTGATGCTATTTTGGTGAGGACCACCTGCCACGCTTCATATCTCTTAACGGTTTGCAAGCCTTATTACTCTTCCCTTTTGGTCTCATTATTGATTTGTGAGCATGGAAAATCTAGATGACAAACTAGGATGACACATTTACTTCCTTTATTTACTAAAAGCGAAGCATTTGTGCTCAGCAGGTGGGAAGGAAAATGTTTTGCTCATTTGCTTCAGAAGGCTTGCTTCTCTACAGATGCGTGCCATTGACAGTGCATGATAGTATCATATAGTCAGTATTCAGTAATTAAGCTTTTCTCTTTTAGTCCCCAATGCCATTATTCTACTGATTTGCTGCAACACAGTTTTAAACCCAGTGCGTTGCCAGCAAACGTTTCTCTAAAATGTAGAATTCATGGTTTGTTGCAACTGCTGAATTAAATTTCGAAAATGCTATTTGTTGACGCAAGAATGCAAATATCCTTCCCATACATTGTGTACATGCACTCAATACCTACATGGCGAATTTTCAACAAAAAAATACCTACATGGCGCCCTTTTGGGAATAACTGCCACAGTGGTAATATCACGAGATGAGATTGTAGATGCACTGTTGTTGCCTTTATAGATGTTTCCGTTGGAAGTTATGCCGGAAAATATGTCATCACGAAATAATTCATCATTACATCATATTGGGGTGAATTATCTGAATCTCAGGTTATATTCAGTCAACCTTCTGAAGTATGCCAAAATATACAGAGGGCCTCTCCATCTCCAATTTAATTTGGACATTTCCTTCATTAGTTTGGATAGGATTCTTCCATTTTTGAAGTACATTGTTGCTGTGAATAAGTACAACTAAACCGTGCAATTATTTTTTGATTTTGTCAACATATTTTACTGAACATCATATAGGCTGAACATCTAGGCCTGCCATACACTGGGGCACTGATAAGAGGAAGGTGCTACTACAGCTGGGTATGTAATAATCCCCATCTCACCCCACCCGAAAAACCTTTTACCAATAGAATACTCTACTTCTTACCCTCCTCTACTTTTAACATCAGGTTCTAAACCTGCTTTTGGATATGTACGCAGGGATCAATTGCTTGGAGTGGAAACTATAGCACATTTCTGTTTTTTTTACCACATATGCAAGCTTAGTACCATCAGCAATTGTCCATCGCAGCACAGATTCTTATTAGTTTTCCAGTCCTGAGTATGGCACTATTTGTAAACTTTTTTTATATACTGTTACATTTGATGTTCCTTTTGGTCTTCAAGTGCTACATAATTTACCCCTGCGAGACAACCGAATGTTATTTGCATATCCTATACATTGTCAGCTTGCTGCCCGCGTTACCTGCTAGTAGTATACTATGTTTATATAACCTCAAGTATCAAGGTTAAAATAAACTACTTTTCATGTGTTACTACTCTAGCTATAAATCATTTTCTCTTTGAAAAAAATTGTTTGTTGTTTAACATGGTGCCACTCAACCTCATATGACACGTCATACGATATAAGTGCATGTCTATCCTACCCACATGGTATAACGGTATCAACAGCTAGCTATTCTGACGTGGAGAGAGAAAAAGTAGAAGAGAGAGTAGTCACTAGCGATGAACAAATAGCTGATCTATTTCATATAGTTCAAGAATCCGAGAGAAATATGTGGGTCCAATAGTACATAGAAAAATAAGAATGTATAAAATAATTTTTGCTTTTGTCTCTCACCTCCATGTAAGCTAGCTATGTAGCTAGCATCATTGCGGACGCTCAATTCACAAGCTGCTATATACTAATATACCAGATCATTTCTTGAGGTATTTTCGGCTATGTCTACCTTGCGTTATGTGTTGTGCAACAATCTTCACCACGCCAACATTAATGATGAGAACTCACTACTTAGATGATTGTTGAATGTTATGCTTCCTCTCAAGCCCAAACATCCTTTTGTCTTGACCACACACGATGCTCTCAACACATGTTGCTAAGTTTTGCACAAGACCAACAACCATGTCATTGTCTATTCTTATATGTATACTTTTCATATTAACGAACAATTTTTAGTCGGGGACTTATAATAAATCAACTAATATTTTCTCTCACAACAAACCAAGCTTATCAGGCTTATCGAACATAGAAATCAACCGTTGTCTATTTATTAATTCAGTATTATTAATTCAGATAAGATCCTTCAGAAAAGAATGAGATTATATGATTCCGACTTTCGAGCTTAGCTGCCAACTAGATGTTAGAGCCATATATATATGGTAATTTATCTCTAAGACCATAATATCACAACTAGTAGTTAGTTGTCAAAATTAGTTAGGGTAGATCCAAATAAATAGTATTTGTGCTAGGCACCCATCTAACAACTAATGGTCTATTTGGCATAGCTTCTTACTGCTCTAGCTCCTCTTACACTAGCACTTTAGTACATTGTTTACATGAGCCATTTTTCTCGCTCATGACAAAATGAACATAGAGACAGGAGAAACCATTATTTGTGGTTCCTTAGGTGTTGTAGCTCAAAACCGGGGCTTGAAGGAGCTTGTCGAAACGAGACCTAAAGATTGTGACACTTTTGTCCTTCCATATACCTCCATCTAAGTGCTCTAACAATATCCTATAAAATGTTTTAAGCATATTATAGACAAACCATCAATACATTCATGTTCTTATTAATCCCAACAATACGCAACCAGCTAATCATGTTCCTATTTGTACGGTGAGTCCAAACAGAGACTTACGGTGGACAAGTGGCCTGTGCCCTTAGCAATTAGGGGCTATCCCGGCATTGCAGGGCCCATAAGTCAGGATCGCAGGAGACGAAAGCTTCCTACACTGGCCTGCACGCATACCCAGAACTCCTCGCTCAGATAACAGCAACAGCTCCTTTCCTCTCTCTCGAGGTGTCTCTCCCAAAACGCACGCCCACGCACAGCACAGCACAGTCGCAGAGCCAGGACCAGGAAACCACCACCACCAGCGCAGCGCCGCGATGAGAGGGGAGCGGGGCCCACGGTGGCGTTCATCTCCGGTGAGCCGCCTCCAGCCGCCGCGGAGGAGGTGGAGGAGAACTCCGGCGCCGAGGAGGAGGACGAGGAGGTGGTGGTGGGGCAGGACGACGACGAGCTGGAGCTGGGGCTCTGCCTCGGCTCCAAGAAGCAGCAGCAGCCGTCGCCAGCGCCGTGCCGGATCCTCACGGCTCGGGACCTGCAGCCGGGGTCCCTGTCGCCGGATTCCTCCGTGTCCTCCTCCTCCCCAGCGGCAGGCGCAGGTGCCGCGGCGCCCAGCAAGAGGGCCAAGGCGGATGCAGCGCCCAACGCCACCACCTCGCCGGGGACGGTCGCTTCTGGCCATCCACAGAGGTGAGCAGCAAGAACAACTCCCTTTGCACTGCACGCTTCTCTTCTTCCTTGCCTATGCAGAACAACAGCTCCAAACATGCGTCTTTCATTTCTATATAGTATCAGGGAAAAAAAGTTCAGAACTCTATCAGTATAAGTGCCTCCTTGTCTGCTTGTTGTTAGGATCATAGGATGATGGCCGCCGTGCATTTGAAGTTTTGCACCTAATTTGTTCCGAAAAAGAAACCTTCTTTCTCGTTTATTATGCACAGACATCTCCGAAGACTAATGTTTTTTCCCTGCCGAAGCTACCTAATTTGCATGGCTTCCGTTATTAAATCCTCTCTCTCTCTCTCTTACCATGAGCATCCTGCAAACTCTGGGATAATAAAAAGGAGACTTTTAGTTTGTTGCATACTTGCATTGCCCTTCAGATCTGCAACCACCAAAATTTTCTTGACAAGAAAAGTATCCTAGTATCATGTCTTCTTGGTTCAAAAAGAATGCCATTTCCTTGCTTGCCGAGCTACGTACCCATATTGCTCTCAACTAATCGTGACTGCATTTTCCGGTTTGGTAGCAGCTTTGGAGTGGTGGGATGGCCACCCATAAGAACTTTCAGGATGAACAGCCTATTTAACCAGGCCAAAGAAAATGCCTCTGAGGCTGGCACAAAGAAGCCCGCTGCTGAAGCTGACATGCAGGAAGACAAGGAGGAGAGCAAGAAAGGACGGGTCGTTGGTTGGGTGAAGGTGAACATGGAAGGAGATATCATTGGAAGGAAGGTGGATCTCAACGCCCATCGATCCTACAAGACCCTTGCCTCAGCACTTGAGCTCATGTTCATGAAGCCGTCCATCGGTCTTTGCACTTCTAGTAAGTCATAATCTGATCTTTTACTTTCACTATATATAGTAGAACCTAGTACATATTCTGATCATGTCAACCTATATGGTGTGGAGCTTTTCTATATTTTGTCCCTTTTTTCGATTACCGTCATCAAGTGTACAATTGCTACAAACGGTAACGCTGAAATGAATTGAAAACACTGAGTACTATCCACTTGATGGGTCAATCCGATGTTCTACTGCATCAGGGTCTATGGTGCAATAGTTATGGCACTGGGGATGTATACTTTTTGTATATACTTAGGACACAATGCTGTTCTAGTATAGTTTCATACGTTTGTGAGGATATCTTTTCTGCTCTCATTTCTGACCCTGGTCTCTATTGATCATGAAAATTATCAGATAGTTCAAAGTCTCTTAAGCTATTGGACAACTCATCGGAGTGTCAGCTCACCTATGAGGACAGGGATGGGGACTGGATGCTTGTTGGAGATGTTCCCTGGGAGTAAGTCCCCTGCACTATATTAGCAATCAGAAGTTGAACAGGAGACCGTTTTTGAAGTGTCATGGAATGGTTCTTTCGGATGGCTTATTGTTTTACTCTGCACTTCCGCAGGATGTTTGTAGGTTCAGTGAAGAGACTCAAGATCATGAGGACTTCAGATGCCAACGGTCTTGGTTAGTTCCTTCTCTCATACTTCTTCAGCCCAGATATAGTTGAATTCAGAGGTTTAAGGCATGCCGGTTATCCACTGAGAAGCTGGATTTATGGCCTATTAGTCAGCATCATGAATTTTGGTTCTACCATGTTTGACGCCAAAATTTCCAAAAATAAAAACTCTACTGCAGGTCCGCGATTCCAAGGGGCTCACAGACCTACAGCAGCTTGCACAAGAGGCAGGACTTGAAAACCACCGATGGGTGTTTGGAGCTAGAGAGCTATACCGCTGGTGAAGCTTGAACTGTGTTTGATACCACGTAACAGCAGCCCATATCTTTGGCATAGTTGTGAGATTACTTGTGTCTAGTGGAAATAGTAGAAGTTTTTTTTTTCTTCTTCTTCCTTTTGGTGCCCTCGTTGAGCTTTTCTCATGGGCTATGACTATGAGCACAGCCCCCATCTCTTCTGTCCACACTGTTTTTACCTGTGAGGCATGGTCGCCCAAAGTGTCGGTTTTTATCCTTCTGTTTGCTGTAGCAAAAGTATCAGTTCTGCTGTTTCATATTTGTGTTCATATCTGAATTCCCAGTTGCCGCACAGTGTTTGTGCTAATTGCTGTAATCTGCAATGCAACGCCAACCACCCGGGTGTTTGGGGGGACAAAATGTGGACGTTTGAGACCAGTGCAGTGCTGCTGATGGCTCACTTTGCTGTTGTCCGTGGCTGTGTCTGAGAGTGCCTCTGAACCTAACCTCGTGAATGGACAAATCCGACGGCACATTTGAACAGCACCCCAAAAGCGACGTTACCCCTGCCATGGGGCCATGGAGCACGCAGATCGCGTGATCAGCACTGCAAGGGCTTCCTTCTTCACAAAGTGTCTGGACATGAAAATTCCTGCAAGCAACAGCCAACAGCATGAGCTGCTGATACAGCAGAGGATCACACTCCAGAAATCTTGCAGCACAACCAGTAAGAATCATTGTCATCCAGGGTCCTCGACAAATCTCTATGCTCGCAGGAAACAATCCAGGATTGACTGGTCCAAAATCTGAATCTGAAACGCGAATACACACAGGACAGACAGACTATTTGTGACCACTAGTTGGGTTCACAAGGAAAATGTTTGGAACACAGCAACACGGCTGGGACGCCCAGAATACACAAACCATGGATTATAGTTTCGTGAAATCAAGTCACTGGAGAGGCCTAAACTCCATACGGATGAATGCCGAATCCCTCCCTGCCACTCAATCTGCACGCCGTAGGCTGTACCACATTCACCTGTATGATTCGGTGCGTTTGGGCTTGCTTTGGACCACCGCCTCAATCCTGTCGAGAACCTCCGGCGTCAGCAGTGGAATGACATCTAGAGCCTTCATGTTCTCCACGATCTGTTCATGTGGTTTGCCAAATGGGTCAGAGTATTCCTTACCATGTAGACATGCTTGCTTAGAGCAGTAGAGATCCTCTGAAGAACACGAGTTTGGAAAATGTACCTGGCTTTCTTTGGTAGCTCCAGTGATCACAGATGAGACGTTGGGGTTCGATGCACACCAAGCAATTGAGAGTTGAGCTAACGAAACGCCAAGTTCAGCGGCGATAGGTTTTAGCCCATTCACTTTTCGAAGCGTGTCGTCCACCAGGGACCTGTTCGCCAGGTTCTGGAAACCCAAGGCAAGGAATGGATTAGCTATAAAATACTCAGAAAAATAAAGATATGTTAGGTTATACATAACAAACAGATAAAACAGAGCTGAAACCAGTAGCTGCTACAAAGTAAAGTTAATTCCTGCAAAGTTATGCTAGGTTATACATTGATTATGCAGTGTGCCACCTGTGATCTGCCGATCATGAGCTAATGTCTAATGATTATGATACATTAGCAATGCAGTTGAACACTGGTGTTGCTTAACAAAAATTGGTTTTTTCGCTATTTTAGTTGTCATCTCCACAGAAGCAATTGTCGAAGTGGAATTGTAGAACAGGATGTGATACGATGATTATGGTATGGTTTCTCTTGGCTCTTTGGTTCATTTGGGGGATTGCATCCTAAAAGGTGTTGGTATTCTAAAATTACTACTCCCTCCGTCCGTATGCAAGGCCGTAACCACTTTTTATTCAAGTCCTATAATACAAGGCGTGCTCTTCACCTCTCTCCTCTGGACGGGCGTCCATCCACGCGGCATTCAATGTTCTCCAATTGGCCTTCTTACCTCCCTCCTCTCACGTGAGCATGAGTCTCTCTCTCTCTCTCAATACTAGTAGTACCACATGTTGTGTACTATAGTACTCGTTAATGCATGCGGCTGGCCGAGGAAGAGAGGAGAATTAAATACGTTCCTTCATCTTTGAACCAGAGATAGTTACGCCTTGTATACTAGGACAGAGGGTGTAGTAGTTAAGAGAATGAGTACTGGCATAATATAAAAGGTTCCCCCAAATACCTTGTAATTGTCTAGGGCAAACCTGCTATCAGCAGGTACGTTCTCTTTGCTATATTTGCCGGTTAGTACTCCTGAAGCTAGAGGACTCCATGTAGTCAAACCAATGCCATAGGTGCTGTAAAGTGGCATGAACTCAGACTCAACCTGCAGAAAAGTAGTGTGGTATTAGTTCTTGTAACACAAACTGCATGCATAGGATGATCTGTTTGACTTTTTTTTTGAAATCATTCAAGAGCAAATAGTGTTTATTATTTAACCATGGAATCTCAAATAGAATACATCCGCACAAAGAAGGAATATCACAGACACAAATAAACATGAATGATTCTAGTCACGAAAAATGGCAGTTCCCTACCAGAAAGTCTCATGCTAGCATACTGGTATCGATCTGCTGAACTGGCATGCTTAGGCATGCAACAAACTGTATCTGAATCACTATAGACTGAAGGAAAATCATATGATGCCCTCGTTCTAAAATACCATGTTGCAATGTTTCAAAAATCGTGTATGAAGCCACAACAATTCAGTTCAAAATTCATTTTTGATGCTGAGATTAAAAAAAAACAGAAGTGTCACTGTCAACACATGATGAACAGTGCCAGGTTGACTGCTTGTCTATTTTTTTCTTGGCATCTAGGATGAATTTCAAACTGAATTGTTGCGGCTATACTTAACTTTATGTGTACTACATCCATGATTTTTGTGATGATTTTAGCAAACAAGGGCGCTAGCCCCCCTGGGCACCAAAGTCTGCACTCATAGACTGAAATGAAGCAATATTTTATAACACTAACGGCAAACCTGACTATTTCAAGCTCTCGTTTTTTTTTTGAAAAAAATGCTCACTGAATTTTGACATAAAATGGACATGGAAGATGAGCAATCCAAGTAAAGTTATGAAATAAAATAACTGAAGGATGACGAATATCCCAAGTCAAATGTACCTAAATGCCATGTGCCATGACTGACAAAACGTGTAAACTAAAATGTTAGAATACCCTAGACACTCAAGATGCAGATTGAATCTCCTCTCTTTTTTTCCCGAATCGAGGCTGCCCCCCATTTCCATTTAACAAGAACAGAAATACAAGCAATTGACAGAGAACAGAGTTAGACTAGGAAACAGACAAGCAAATAAGACGCATGGGAATCCTAAATTAGGAGCTCCTCTGAAAGGTAGACTACATAACTTGCTGTTTCAATTTCTGTAAAAAAAATCATGTTTCATTTGGATCTACCATAGGTAATGCAGTTTAATATTCCAGGGATCCAGGCTGCCATGATTATTCAGGTATCGACCAAGAAAAAAAAACTTGCAGTAATAGGCTAATAGCTACCTGCTACCTTGTACCATTAACCACACCCAATTGACCAAACTTTTTTTGTTGTTTGGTTCCATCCTGAACTTTGTAACACTTCTACATCCTAGCCGCATCACTTCAGTGTAGTAAGAGTTAAAAATCGAACTCCAACTTGCGAAGGCAACTTGCATGACTTATAATCTTGTGTAGTGAACTCCTAACCTGGAATGAGCAACCACTGCCAACTAATTGAATGCAACATTGACAATGATAGGTTGGTGGCTTCAGTTTGATAATGAGTTCAGACCAATAATAAATTGATTGCTCGACTAAAACTAAACATCAGGCTGAGTTTTTCTATTGTTAGAAAAAAAATCGCTTCCAGTCTTGCACTAAGCTGTCCATAGCATGGTGCTAGACCAAACCTTTCAACATCAGTATTTGCTGTTTTGTGCCGGGGATCCTACATGGCGCAAAAGCATACAGGACAACGCATGATTTTCATCGCTGTCTGGTTTGGTAGCTACACTATTCCTAGAGCTGTAGGTTATAGATTACATCAAGAAAGATCAGATTTATTTTGAGTAGATACACTCCTGGAAATGGATTGATAATTATACCATACTATCTGCCTATCTGGTCGTTGAGAAAGGGGATATGTCATAATCATTGAAAGAAACCAATCAACTCCGCCTATGGTGGGGCGCCTTTGGTGTCCCAGCATAGCAGGTCCCAAGCCCTGGTAAAGAAGGAGGGTTGTGTTAGGCGCGGCGAGCCAATGTAAAAACTTAGCCACTTTAATGGAGATGAAACCCAAAAGAATCCTGTTAGGGTGTAACCCTCTTAGCGACGCGCCATGTCAGAACCCGGATATGGTGTAAAATGAGCAAGGGCCGGGCCGTCACCCCCGTGACGCGCCGTGTCACGATCTGGACACGGTGTCAAGTGAGGAAGGATCGGGTCGTCGCATCCTTAGTGGCGCGCCACATCGGCGACCGGGTGTGGTGCAAAATGAGCAACACTATGAAGTTATACAGGATTTATCAACCGAATAAATGAGATGCGACTTTGGCGGAGTTGTACAGGAGGAGGGAGATGTGAGTTTGGAAGGTAAGTAATGCCTAAAAAGGATACATTTCGGTATCTGGGATCGATGCTACAGAGGGATGGAGATATTGATGCGGACGTTAGCCATAGAATCAAAGGAGGGTGGATCAAGTGACGGCAAGCTTCTGGCATTCTCTGTGACAAGAGGGTACCACAAAAGCTAAAAG